GGTCATCGTCAGTGAATATTACCATGATATATATGGTATATCATCTTCTTGAGGCAAGGGAGTTCACTGTAAAAGTCCAGTTTCCACCCTTGCAGAACTAGGTGTCAATTATGGAGTTATATTTTGGCTGGACTAACGAGTCTATGCATAGTCCAATCAAAATCACGAAAACAAACTCGACATCCGGTTCATAAACAATATGGCGACTGGCGTGCAGATTTTGGTTGATTGCTGGATTGGCAGAGCATATGTATTGTCAACTGGGCAGTGACAGATGTTTTCAAAATGTTTTCATGTTTTTAAACAAGGTGCTCGAGTGATTTGATGTACTTCGCGAGGTAAAACTCATTTTATTACAATAAAGTTCTTGATTATCGATCAGATCGTCTGGACTGGGCACCGCCATTTTGTTTGAAGAAAATGCAAGTGAAAGGAGAGGTGGAATCTGATTGGTCAATAGGAGGGACATGGAAGGGACATAACTCGTAACTGCCACTGGTGGTGCTACGATTGAGCTATGATATGCTAGCCTATTTTGGAAAGGGTGGAAACTGGACTAAAGATTTCATGCCGCGTTCTTTATTTGAATAATTCTATCTTGACTCAATGACCTGTCAGTTACACTGACTGAAACACAAGTATTGACTGCATGAATTGAACACAAACAGTTCAAATGAGATATTTCATATCTTTATGAGTGCCTTGTGCCACACTTGAAACCAGGGATCCGGAAATATTTTTTGGCCAATCAGACATTTGCATATTGATCACGCTCACCTCATATCTGAGGTGCTGGATGTTCATGCATGAATAAAAAGAATAAACTCAAGTGACACTGTCATAACATATATGCATGATATATATATAATAAAAGAATAAACTCAAGTGTCACTGTCATAACATATATACATTATATATATATACAATGAAAGAATAAACTCAAGTGTCACTGTCATAACATATATACATGATATATATACAATAAAAGAATAAACTCAAGTGTCACTGTCATAACATATATATACATGATATATATACAATAAAAGAATAAACTCAAGTGTCACTGTCATAACATATATACATGATATATATACAATAAAAGAACAAACTCAAGTGTCACTGTCATAACATATATACATGATATATATACAATAAAAGAATAAACTCAAGTGTCACTGTCATAACATATATACATGATATATATACAATAAAAGAATAAACTCAAGTGTCACTGTCATAACATATATACATAATATATATACAATAAAAGAATAAACTCAAGTGTCACTGTCATAACATATATATACATGATATATATACAATAAAAGAATAAACTCAAGTGTCACTGTCATAACATATATACATGATATATATACAATAAAAGAATAAACTCGAGTGTCACTGTCATAACATATATACATGATATATATACAATGAAAGAATAAACTCAAGTGTCACTGTCATAACATATATACATGATATATATACAATAAAAGAATAAACTCAAGTGTCACTCATAACATATATATACATGATATATATACAATAAAAGAATAAACTCAAGTGTCACTGTCATAACATATCTACATGATATATATACAATAAAAGAATAAACTCAAGTGTCACTGTCATAACATATATATACATGATATATATACAATAAAAGAATAAACTCAAGTGTCACTGTCATAACATATCTACATTATATATATACAATAAAAGAATAAACTCAAGTGTCACTGTCATAACATATGTACATTATATATATACAATAAAAGAATAAACTCAAGTGTCACTGTCATAACATATATATACATGATATATATACAATAAAAGAATAAACTCAAGTGTCACTGTCATAACATGCTATATATACAATTTATTAACAACTCAACAACACATAGATATAATATATACTATTTCAACCTATCAGTGTGTAGGTTTTATTATTTTGGTTATTTTGTATCCTTTGTTATGATGTCAGGTCTCAAGTTGTAATGTCCTGCTAATACTTTTTCGAAAATGTCCTGGTGGCAAATTTTAAGATGTCTGGTTTGCGCTATTCCAAATCGGACATTTTGCAGTTACGATTGGACTAGTCCGGCGCACAGACCAGTTCCCGGATCCCTGCTTGAAATTACAAACATTCAATACCAGAAACTTGACAAAACAAGGTACTCCCCAAATGGTGGCCTCGAAAGTTTATTAAAGAATATCAATGTAATGATATATGCAGGCTATTCCGGGAATGTAGCTTGTTTTATGTCCCTCTAGCTAATTCAATCAGAATTCCAATATTAGCAAAAATCTATTCCTTCTCACTGCTGATTTACTGCAAGAAGAAAGCATATTGGCACATGTCCAAGAAGTTGTTGCCACAGAAACGATTATTTGTCGTCCAGTGGTAAATTCACAGAGCAGTACTCGAGGTAGCGAACCGCCAGCTACGTGACTGGATTGCTATTGATTTTCTAGATGTTGGAGAATGGCCTGTCTCAAACAAGGACATATAGTATTACACACTGACAGACTCATAGACTATCAGTAATATGGTGGGATGCCGTAATGGTCGGAGTAACGCCAGTGTTAGAGGAAGTATTATATAGCTGGTGGATTAGATAAGAGATGCTAGTCACTAGAACTGGAGTAGACCATGGACGATTGTAATATGTCATTGTCGGAGCTTTATGGAGCCCAGAAATGACAATATTGGAATTAGATTCCTGGTTCACCTTGTATTCACTCCCACAGTGCTGCAGATAATATTTATGGTTCTGGTCACTGAAGGATCGTTTCACCTGTGACCTTGAAATGTTATCCAGTAATCAGGGATTTACCTGGGGCGTCAATATTTGTCAGGGGACTCAATTTACCTGGGGCGTCAATATTTGTCAGGGGAAATTAATAACTGGGGGGTCCAGCCAAGAAGTTTGTTTGTTTGTTTGTTTGTTTGTTTGTTTGTTTGTTGTTTGATGCCGCACTCAGCAATGTTCCAGCTATACGACGGCGGTCTGTAAATATTCGAGTCTGGAACAGACAATCCAGTGATTGACATCATGAGCATCGATCCACACAATTGGGATACGATGACATGAATCAACCCAGTCAGACAGCCTGACCACCTTATCCCTCTTACGACAAGTATAGTCGCCTTTTACAGCAAGCATGGGTTGCTGAAGACCTATTCTACCCCGGATCATCACGGGTTCCAGCCAAGACATGGATATGGGGGTCCCAGGCTAACGACATGTGATACATTTCACTTCATTATTGGAGTCCATTCTAAATTTGTATGCATATCAGGGATTTGTCTAAGATTCCAAACTAGTTGTCTTGAACATGTTGAAGGCAAACGCTTTTTATTAGGTTCAATATTTTTAGAAGTCTTATTGTAATAGGTACTTTTTGTTTATATTATTTGAAGAATTGAATTAATGCAATAATCTAAAGTAAGGATTAAACAGGGTTAGAAATTGGCACTAGTCCTATCGTCCTTGCCAAACTGCCCAATAGGTAAGGTATTCTAAGGACAAGTAGAAATTTGCCCTTCATAAGAGTTTAGCTAAACGTTTTCATTATAAGGACTAGTGGGCTAAAAAGGTTAGTTTCTCTCACTGTTAAAGCCCAATGGTTGAAATTGTCACTTGTCCTATAATCCTCGCCTTGCCAAACTGCCCCATCAGGACTAATAGAAATTTGACATTATCTGATACATATCATGATCACATGATGATACCTTACTCATGATCCGATATGTATCATGCATGTGCTCTTATCTGTAGTGCGTAAGCCATCCTTTTCATAGACAGGATGGCCAAATACCTGGCACACTGATGATTTTCAGGTGGCAGTGTCAAGTATCGCACAACAAATGATAATATTTATGTTTTCACTATTACTTTGCACTCTTGAAACCAATAATAAAATTAAGTATTATGTGCAGTAAGCTTAAAAATCATCAAAAGTCTGACACAAGACTTCAACATGTTCATTGCCTGTTGCCGTGGTAATGTTTCCGAAGTGTTTGTACTGAGAGTATAGTCAAATACATTAAAGTTGTTTTTGTTTGTTTGTTTTTTTATTATTTATTATTTACATAAAGAATACTGAGATAGAATAGTCTAACTGGACAATTTCTTCAATTTTGCGATTCAATGAATAGATAATTTGCCTTACCCTGGGCATTGTTTTCATCACAACAGTGTTTGTTTGCAAACAAATTACACAGATAAAGTGCAATATATCTAAGAAAATATAAATACCTGGTGAAATTTCATGGTATCAGTAGATATTGAAAATTTGCATCCAAAGTATATCTACAAATAAATGGAAACAACTGCATGCTTGTTTTCAGGTAACCAAGCTGTACATTAAAAACAGCATGTTTATCTCAAAACTAATCTATTTAAAAAACAACAAAAATAGTCATCACGATCATGAACCTCATCAATATGTATTAATTAAATAAAAAAGTGCATTATTTCCTAATTTTCCCAACCAGATCACTGACAGCACCTTCATCCTCATCACGATGAAAAGTCTCGTTTATCAATTTTGTACATGTTGTACCAGTGTCAGCAATATTCCAGCTATCATGGCTATATGTCAGTGGTCCGTAAATAATAGAGTCTGGACCAGACAATCCAGTGACTGACATCATGAGCATCGGTCTACGCAATTGGGATACGATGACATGCTTCAACCAAGTCAGTGAGCCTGACCTCCCGATCCCGAAAGTCGCCCTTATAGATAAGCATGGGTTGCTGAAGACTAGTTGTAACCTGGATCCTCACGTGTTGTTGTAACGGTTCATAAACATGATAAAGTAAACGTAAGGACATGTCAAAGGTGTGACTACATGAAATACAAATGTGTTCTTGGTGATTTGCTTCTTAGAAATTAGAATCTGTACCTTTTAAAATAATTTAAGGAATGTTTATCCAAACCGTGTCATTATCATGATTATGCCTTAAGCTACCATGCTTTGTTTCCCACTTCAGTCGTTCGAGCGTGTGGTCGTCCAGAACATCCTCCACGGCCTGTCCCCGAGCCTCTGCGAGGCCATCCAGAGTGTGTCCCGCTGGAAGACCATCCAGGCTGCCTTCCCCCACTTGATGCACGCCAGCTCCAGCCTTCTCACCGTACGCAAACAAACCCATCCAGACCTGAGATTTGGACCCAGTGAAACCAAGCTGCTATACACCCTGCACTGGATCATGCTTGATGCTGCATCGGAATGTGAAGATGCTGACACCGAGAAACGCGGCGGCCATGTTGCCAAACACATCGGCTCGCCTCTGTACATGCACTCTCTCAGCACTGTGCAGCTGTTTGTGTATCTGTTTGCACCTGTTATCCATACAATGAAAGATTCAGATTTTGATTCTTTGAAACTTGAGAATGGGTTGAGATTATGGCAGCCGCTCTGGGATTATCGTCAACCAGATATCCCCTGTTTTTCTACTCCTGTTAAGCCGCAGAGAAGTGTCTTGAAAGCTACGAGGAACTTGTTGAAAGTCAACACAAATGCTGCAAACATCTATATTGGGAAAGGAACATCCCGGGAGAATTTGTTCTGCTTTGGGGAGGAATCCACGAGCCGGAACAGTTACACAGAGCCTCAGTCACCAGGGGCTCCCATTGCGCGAATGAGCGACATATGCGCCTTCTCCGCAGCTGCATCAGATTCCCACACTGCTACGATGGATGTTATCTGTGAAAATTGCAACACTGTGATGCAGCTGCGACCCAATGATGGCCCTCTGACCTGTCGGTGCGGTCAGAAGGATACCCTAGTGGCTTTCCTTCCAGACTCCAGACTGTATGCTTTTCACAAGCTTACATCTGCAGTGGACAAGGATTATGTAAAACAGAAACTTGCAAGTGCAGTTACCAGCGGTACCCGGGCTCCCGAGGGACCGGATATCCTCAGTGCGAGCTACTTGGATGTTGCAGTGTTGAGGTGTCTCTTCTGTCTGAACTGGAACGAAGATGGAATCTATTGGGCGCTGAGGTACATGCATCAGAGGATGCTGGAGGTCAGTGATGAGTATATTCATATAGAGCAGTGTGAGAGAAGCAGGAGCAAGTCCCTTCCTGTACCTGACCTTCAGGTTCTGGCTGGTGGACATAGCAAAGCCTGCTCCCCTGAAGACCGCTCTGCTGGAGTCAGTCCTACAAGCCCAGACTCGAGAGCAACATCTCCCCATAGAAATATATCCCCGACAGACCCCAGACACTCTTTCCCTCCAGTGGGTTCCTTCAGTGGGCCAGATATGAGGAAAGAGCCACCTTTTAAGAAGATTAGAGTGATCGAGCTCAAGCAGTTCTTTGACACAGGGAAGTCGTTCTTAAGGAAGAAGGACAGCAGTGAGTTGGATGGCAGTGGATCCCAGTCCCCTAAAACATCCAAACATGACCATGGAAGCAGCAGCCACATCTTCTCACGGGCCTTCAGGGATGATTCCTCCAGCTCTTGCACAATCTCAACCCTTGACACAGAGTCGGATGTGATCAGACCCAACTCGGCCATGGGAAGCTATGCTGGGTATGGACGGGACAGGGATGACAGGTTCGGAGGATTGGCTTCAGGATTTGGAGCACAGAGGAAGAGTATGCCAACACTGCCTCAGTCTGATAAGGAGTCGTTTGGGAGCAGCAGTCAGCACAGTGGACAGGATTCCTCAACGTCTTCACAAGCTGACATTCACTTGAAGCCAGAGCCCATTAAGAGACCTATAATTACAATCACGGAACACAGCCCAGAACCAAAGAACTTGCCCAATCTGTCTGCATCCAACTACGAACTCTCTGGGGGCTCGGACAACCGGGATGATGATGGGCTGTACCCTAACTTGCCAAGGAGTATGACCGACTCGAATATTAGTTACAAGCCCGAGGAGGACATTCAGGAGGTGTCAGGGTCGAAACATTACATTCAGGACAATGGGCACATTAACTATAAGGTTGTGCTGAGAGCGGTGCACTTTGTAGCCATGAACGAACGATCGCCTCGGATCTGTGAGGTGCTGCTGAACATCCTGAACTGTCTACTAGACCTGGACATCATCGAGACCAAGTCCTCCCCACCCAGGTCCCCCGCCACCCCCGAAAGCCAGGACACAACCGACAAGCCGCCTCCTGTTGAGAAGCCAGCGGAGTCGGATGGGGACAAGGATATTACAGCGCATAGCCTGGCCATGGATAGCTTGTTCAGGTACAACAGGAATTCATGTTGGTTTGGATTAAGGGGGAAAAAAATGTTTTCTATTTCAGCAGAGCCAAAAAGAGGGTAGGAACTTCAGGCTTTTTCCACTTTTTTTCCTCGAGAAGTTGTAGTTTGCAGTATGTCAGTATAAGCTTGCTTCCAATGACAGTAACGTGTTGGTGTATTGATGACTAAATCAAGATTTATTTGTGGTGATTTATGCTACTGGCATAAAATTTGAAAAAGACAAGAAAAATGGTCAGGGTTTCCGGATGAGGTTCGGTTTGGAAACTGGAAACACACCTTGAAAATTATTATCCATATTTCTTAAAATTATGTATCAGGTTTTGACAATATTTAAGGAATATGATCCATGTTTTGTTTCAAATTTTGATTGAGTTTGAGAATATGATCCTTTTTGTTAATAATTATGTGTTTGTTTTAAGAAATATGATAAGTAAAAGTATCATGATCATCCAGCTGGTATTATTTTGATAGAATCATTATCATATTTTGCACCTGATTTCAAAGCTGACATCAAAGCTTTAGCAAACTGATCATGCTGACGAAGGGAAATTAAAAAAAAAAAAATGTCAGTATTTGACTAGGTATTGACTTTATCTTGGTTTGTCGTGTTCACTAAAGACAGCTCTCTATTTGGAGTTTGAAATATCTCACATTGAAAAAAACAATTTCAATTAACAATGCTTTTCCAATGCAATTGCTAACATATTTACAGCCCCTATTCAAACTGTTTTAGTTCTGCATGTTGCCATTTTGACAGCAGGACTTTCAATCCTGTTAAATCAATGAACCTGGTAAAGGAGCTGAAATGTTTAGAGTTTAACATGCTTAAGTAGTTAGAGACAAATTCTGTGGCTAAAATTACAAAATTCTACTTTTAAAACATACCCAGTTTCCCCTAAAAAACATAAGACAAACTCATTTTTTGAAAACTTGAATCCAAATCCGAAATGAAAAAATTCCATAAACTGTCATTATAAACAGTTATCATTGGGTAAGCCATACAATTATGCAGATAAATATGCATAGTGTCACTGATATAAGTTTATGTTTTGATGTACCGGTAATCATATGTAATAGTACCGCAAGGACTGGGAACTATTTATTTCAAATTTCATTTTATTTTAGGATTCATGTTTTGTATGTTTAAATGGCATGTTAATTTTTTTGCATCATTCAAGTGCAAAAATTCAATAGAAAAGCTTGAAAATAATGAAAATGTTTGTATTACAGATGTCTATTTTCAGTCTTGCCTATTGTGATATTGCAGTGTATTTATGTGACACAACTAACATGATTGTAAAAGCCTCCTCTCTGGTCTCTGCAGGATCTACAAGGCTCTTGGCTGCCCCCAGGGATGCGGCGATGGGATTGTTGGGCCTCAGGGAGACCATCTTCGCATGAAGGGACAGAACTGTCTGCAGCATCTTCACAAGCTCAACCCTCCTCTCTTCCACAAGTTCCTCCGTGGAACGGTCAAGCGGTGCCCCCTGCAGGACACGATCGACTTCCTTCACGCTTTCCTCGGGTTCTGTGTCGACCCCACAGTGCACACACAGTCGCCACAGCGTATGTACTGACAGGGTAGAATAGGGTTCAAGTTGATATGTCCATCTGATGTCCTTGAAAATAATTGTTAGTTTGCCAGGAATAGATGTCAGATTTAATAAACTATATATAAGCTAAGCCATAAGTCACAGAGAACAATAAAGAACGAAGTGTGGTTTATCTTACAATAAAACTTGTTCTATCATGACGTCTTTTCTGGAGATTCGAAACCTGCGCTCACAACTTCGTAAATTGCATGACGTTATTTTTGAGAGGGAGGTGTCCAGTGAGTTGTTCCCCATAGATGTAGCTGGGTAACATAGATAAATGAAATAGCCGAATGATCGCATCGAAAATGGGAGAGATATGACAATCGGTATTGGGAGAAAAGGTACAGATAATCGATGTATAAATTATGAGAGTATGCGGGAAAGACCTGTCATGGTTTATTCACCCTGCAGTGTTTTATTGTATGATAAACAACTCCCACTTGTCGTTTATTTTGGCAATTTTACTGAGCAAGTGAATTACAACTCCAGATGATCAAGCTCCCCTTTGTGGCCACAGATCCATCCATGTCATCACGTAAATCTTTACAGTGGAAGGTTTTCTCAATTTGACGCACTTTCTTCCCACAGCCAACAAGAAGTCAGTATCCCAGGAGAACTTGCCCCGCAACTGCTACGCCAACAACTTTGGCCACAGCATCGGCGGCGAGGGCTACCGCGGTGTGGAGGGTGTCCTCATAGCGAACCTCCTGAAGCCCTTTGTCTCGCGATGTGTGGAGAGTGTGGGGGAGCTGTATGGCCACGACAACATTGTGAGTTGGTGTTTCAGTGTGTTCCTCTTGGGGTATGTGCTGGAGGCTGGGGTAATCACAGATTCATTGTGATACTTAAGTTTGACTTTCAGGGTGTGATTGCATCACATCATGTTGTGACTGTATCTCTTTACCTTTAAGGTAATACATGCTGTGATGTGTGATGTGGTTTCAGGGTGTGATGTTGTTTCAGGGTGTGATGTGGTTTCAGGGTGTTATGTGGAATCAGTGTGTGATGTGGTTTCAGGGTGTGATGTTGTATCAGTGTGTGATGTGGTTTCAGGGTGTGATGTGGTTTCAGGGTGTGATGTGGTTTCAGTGTGTGATGTGGTTTCAGGGTGTGATGTTGAATCAGTGTGTGATGTGGTTTCAGGGTGTGATGTGGAATCAGTGTGTGATGTGGTTTCAGTGTGTGATGTGGTTTCAGGGTGTGATGTGGAATCAGTGTGTGATGTGGTTTCAGGGTGTGATGTGGAATCAGTGTGTGATGTGGTTTCAGTGTGTGATGTTGTATCAGTGTGTGATGTGGTTTCAGGGTGTGATGTTGTTTCAGTGTGTGATGTGGTTTCAGGGTGTGATGTGGTTTCAGGGTGTGATGTGGTTTCAGGGTGTGATGTGGTTTCAGTGTGTGATGTGGTTTCAGGGTGTGATGTGGAATCAGTGTGTGATGTGGTTTCAGGGTGTGATGTGGAATCAGTGTGTGATGTGGTTTCAGGGTGTGATGTGGTTTCAGTGTGTGATGTGGTTTCAGGGTGTGATGTGGTTTCAGGGTGTGATGTGGTTTCAGTGTGTGATGTGGTTTCAGGGTGTGATGTGGAATCAGTGTGTGATGTGGTTTCAGGGTGTGATGTGGTTTCAGGGTGTGATGTGGTTTCAGGGTGTGATGTGGAATCAGAGTGTGATATTGTGGTTTCAGGGTGTGATGTTGTGGATTCAGGGTGTGATGTTGTGGATTCAGGGTGTGATGTTGTGGATTTAGGGTGTGATGTTGTGGATTCAGGGTCTGATGTTGTGGATTCAGGGTCTGATGTTGTGGATTCAGGGTGTGATGTTGTGGATTCAGGGTGTGATGTGGAATCAGAGTGTGATATTGTGGATTCAGGGTTTGATGTTGTGGATTCAGGGTGTGATGTTATGGATTCAGGGTGTGATGTTGTGGATTCAGGGTTTGATGTTGTGGTTTCAGGGTGTGATGTTGTGGATTCAGGGTGTGATGTTTTGGTTAAAGGGTGTGATGTTGTGGATTCAGGGTGTGATGTTTTGGTTGAAGGGTGTGATGTTGTGGTTTAAGGGTGTGCTGTTGTGGATTCAGGGTGTGATGATGTTGATTCAGGGTGGGATGTTGTGGATTCAGGGTGGGATATTATGGTTTCAGGGTGTGATGTTTTGGGGTGGGATGTTGTGGATTCAGGGTGGGATATTATGGTTTCAGGGTGTGATGTTGTGGATTCAGGGTGTGATGATGTGGTTTCAGGGTGTGATGTTTTGGGGTGTGATGTTGTGGATTCAGGGTGTGATGTTGTGGTTTCAGGGTGTGATGTTTCGAGGTGTGATGTTGTGGATTCAGATTGGGATGTTGTGGTTTCAGGGTGTGATGTTTCGGGTTGTGATGTTGTGGATTCAGGGTGTGATGTTGCGGTTTCAGGGCCTGTTCTGCGATGTGCGGCAGATGATGGCGTACGTGAAGGAGGTGCACGGAGGACAGTTCAGGAAGTGTGCACTCAGTGGCCTCCTGGACTCGCTCCAGAAGCTCCGCAGACAGAAGATGGAGAAGGACAGGGAGCTGAACAGTAAACCTGCTAAACCTGTCAGGTCAGAGCCGCAACTCACTAACTCACTCACTCACTCACTCACTCACTCACTCACTCACTCACCATAAGGTGATACCTGCACCTCACTCACTCACTCACTCACTCACTCACTCACTCACTCACTCACTCACTCACTCACTCACTCTCCATAAGGTGATACCTGCACCTCACTCACTCACTCACTCACTCACTCACCATGAGGTGATACCTGCACTTCACTCACTCACTCACTCACTCACTCACTCACTCACTCACCATAAGGTGATACCTGCACTTCACTCACTCACTCACTCACCATAAGGTGATATCTGCACTTCACTCACTCACTCACTCACTCACTCACTCACTCACTCACTCACTCACCATAAGGTGATACCTGCACTTCACTCACTCACTCACCATAAGGTGACATCTGCACTTCACTCACTCACTCACTCACTCACTCACTCACCATAAGGTGATACCTGCACTTAACTCACTCACTCAGTGTGTAAGGTTCAATCCCCGACCGCGTCATACCAAAAGACGTTAAAAGATGGTACTTGTTGTTACCCTGTCTGGCGCTCGGCATTAAGGGGCTAAAACAATGACTGGTCAGCTCGGAGTCATTATACTGTGTCTGAGTGGGGTATTCATGTTAAACTGCGGCATGGTATCTCAGTGAGCTAGCACTTTAAATCGGCATCAGTCCGGACTAGTACAAGCAGCCACACAAACACACACACGTACATGCACTTCGCTATATAAGTGCTATAATCTTGGACGCGACATTAAACCCAATTTCACCTCACCTCACCTCAGTGTGTTATATGTAGTTACAGACATATTTGATGAATAAGTTCAACATCTATAATCAGTATTTAATATAACATTATTTTTGTTCAATCTATTATATACACTTACATCACATGAGATTAAATAGATTTAAGGTGCTTTTGTAAAAATCTGTTCACAAACTAAAATAGACTGAACCTGTTTACTGGACTTTATGCATGTATGGTACATATATTGCTAAATAGCAATTTCTTTTGATGTTTGTTACCATGGTTACAGGAGAACAACATCCATCACTTCTGAGAGTGGAGATGAGAAGGACCCCCAAAAGTCCCCTAACTTAGTCAACAGCGAAGACGGCCATCAGACCAGCGGCAAGTCCCGAAGGTCCATCTTCAGGAAGAAGGTCAAGAAGGTGGCAAATGTGAGACTCACTCTCCCGCATCCAATTCCAGGAAAAAATAAAAATAGTTGAGAAATAAACGATGATTGGGAGTTGTTTATTGTGCAGTAATACACTGCAGGGAGAATAAACCTTAAGGGGTGCAGCCCTGAGTTGTTTATTCTCCCTGCAGTGATTTATTGTGCAATAAACGACCATCAGTCGTTTATTTCTTACATGAGAAATCAACATTATGTACAGCCTCTTTAAGGATAATGATAAAATTGCAAGCTTTGAAAATATTTACCCCTATTTAAAATACTGATGACTCCCTCAATAGAATCGGCAGTGTAGGACTGTCCATTTTATGCACAGGTATGGTATTTCCCCCATATTCTCAGTGTCCTCATGTGGATTACCTGTACCTTTTCTCCCAATACTGATGATCATATCTCTCCCACTTTGGGATGCGATCTTCAACTACATCTGTGGGGAACAACTCACTAGAAATTCCCCTCTAAAAAATAACGTTGTCCAATATACGACATCATCAAGTTGCGAGCACATGTTCGATTCTCCAGAAATGACGTCATGATAGAACAATGTTTTATTGTGAATAAACAACACTTGGTTCTTCATTGTTCTTTGTGATTTATCGCGTAGCTATCATATATACTACTCAAAAGAAGTTAAGGATCACCTGATTCTTTCATATTACAATAGTTAATCTCTCATGACATGACAGATTAACTTTACCAATATGAAAGATCGGGTGATCCTTAACTTCTTTTGAGTAGTATATATGAAGCTCTATCTTCTTTGATTAACCAGTGTTTTATATTTCGATTCTATTGTGATAAGAGCGACTCCCTAACACTGCTCAACCTCCTCTTTGTTTCAGTCGCTGATGTTCCAATATGCCGCGAGCGACTCAGAGATCATCGAGGACATGGGACACGGGAAGCTGAGCCCCCGAACCAGTATATCAGCAACTGATGATGAACCACCGTCAGGAACCAGCACACCAAGAAGACGATTTAGTAAATTCAATATTGGCAAGTGTCTTTGTACTGTAGGGTACTTTATTTTCGAGAGTTAATCTGCAAAATTGCCCAGTGTAAAGAACGAAGCTTGCAATCATATACGCCAAATATATACACTGTATGTAGTAAAGATGTATTGCTTCTGTGCTCGAGCATTTGAAATTTATTTGTAAATTGAATTGAAACTGTTGATTGCTTGTACAGGGGTAGACACCATGAGATAAATCCAACTAGTCCACAGCTTATTTCAGACTAGTGCTTTATATAACCCAAGAAAGCAAGTAACTCTTTCAAACTTTCACTGGTCTTGAGACAAGCGGACAGATAATCTTGTGTCTAATCCTGTTGTACCATAAATTTACAAATAATTGAGCTTTAACTGAAGAGTGTGTAATCATATTTTATGAAGTTGAATAGATTTCATCTCATGACGCAGATTGTAAGTTTGAGATAATCTATTCAGAAAATACAGTACTTTTCAGTGCATGTAGAACTAGTTCTGTTTAAATCAGGGAGGGCTTTTCTTATTTTTTTCAAAGTCTTCTTAGAACCTTTCTTTTAATTATTCTGTCTTTATCTAGTTTGATTTAGCATTTAGATCCGAGAAAATCTTCAGTTTTTACTTATGCATGCATGGGATTTCTGTGAAATAGGTTTAAGAGCTTATCTTGTTTGACAATGCATGAAAAGGGGGTCTCCCTGTTATGAATTAGAGGCAATTCATCCTAGCCACTGCATGGCACGGCTTGAATTATTATGACTTTTATTCTGTCATATCTATGTGGCATTCTTATTTGTTAAATCATGTTCTCCTATAGTTCTATGATATTTTGTAACATTTTCAAATGTAAAACTATCACATACTGACAAATATGGATAATATAAACAAACATATATAAACCATGTTTTTAACAATGTTAGATATGTCACACATGTTTCATGTGATAATTGTCTACATAGTCTATGTATGTGAGAATGGTAATTTATGAAAATGATAATTGTTATAATTCGTATGTGATTGTCGTTTAATTGCTGGACAGTTGATCCAGTTTTATTTATTCTGAATAATTAACAGTAAGTGATGAACGGTTCCAGAAATAATCACACCTTATAAGAACATTTCTCATGTGATACATTGCTATTGGTCCATGGTTTTAGGCTGTTTAATGATGTTACATGTTCGTTGTGTATGGATGGGATAAGACGTGGATCTTTTTGTGGATAAAGACTTCTTTATTGTTTGTAGGTGTGTTGTGTCATAATGCTAATCAGAAGCTTTGGAAGGGAAATTTAGAAAGGGAGTTGGTTTTAGATTTCTAGTTCAGGATGAACTTCCAAACTTCGTAGTTATGCTTCAGCAAATAAATTAAAAATATTCCCCTGACTTGTTCAATGTATGTGACAGGAGAAAATATCAAAACATATAGGTGTTTAGAGATGATTGAGGTTGTTGGTTTTAAGGTCACCTGACTGTTGTCTGTCGTCAACGTCTGTCGTATTTGTACTGAATTTCATGAAATTAGGTACATATGTACTTCGTATTGGGGCTCAACATAAACTTCTTCTTTTTAGCGATATTTAAAATTTTGACCTTGATTTGTTCATTGCACTGAAAGCTGAAAGTTCAAAGGGCATTACTTGGTCCTTTTCTGTGAAAATGTTAAATTAATGTAGGTAGTAGTGCAGCTTAACACAATTGCTCTGTTTTCATGATATTTTCATAAGATTAAGTTCATGATTAATGATTCACTGAAAACATTATCTCAGAAACCACCATTTTCAATATGGCCACCATGGCAGCCATGTTCATGACTATTACTCTGCTATTTCTGTACAAAATGTAATCAAACTTGGTATTTGTTTAGTTTGTTATGGGATTCAAAACATATTAGGGCTGGGACGGGTAACTCGGGTACTCGGGTCGGATGGGTACTGAGTAGGACCCGGGTACCCACAGGACTATTCGGACCCGTGGTTAGTCACGTGATACATTGTTTAATGACAAAAAGTATCTAACACTATGTTTAAACTACAAGTCACTAATGTGGCAGTTCTTCCTGACTACTATGCCCATTCCGTCTGGCTTTTATATGTTTGAATAAAAATAAAACTTCAGTCAACTTCAGTGTAAGTATACACCAGATCGTTTCATACATGTATCTAAACATGTTTTACCAGTGCTACGGTCAAACTACCCGGGTAGGGTCGGGTAATAGGGGGATGGGTACCCGGGTAGTAAATTTGTCCCAACCTTAATACATATGTTAGAATAGTGAATATCAGTACTAACATCAGCTTTTAATAAGTAGCTGTCTATCTTGACAATTCAGACTGTTAATTGCATAACAAGGTGATGTACACTGCTGTCGCACTGTTTTGAAAAAGTTTTTTCCACTGGGGAATACATCCCCAAAACCAAGCAATTACTGTGTTTCTTTAAGGTTTTGAAATTGCAGTAGAATTGCATAACATTTCGGTTCTATCGATAAGTGGAAATTAGTTGCTTTTGTTCTAGCATGTCCAAACAAGACACATATAACAAAGGTTTCGTTGATTTATTCCGTGAGAGAGTAAGATAGCATTTAGGTGATTTTGTTTTGCAAATGATGTCTGATTGCAACATAGGGTCCTGAAAAAATGGTTAGTTTGGAAAATTAGTAATCATGGGATTGATTTTTAAACATGTTAAGAGCCTTGTATTAAAACCATTAAGCATGTTAAGGTAGTCGTTTAATGATTCTATGGTTGTGCAAAACTTTGACCCTTCTTTTGGTCAAATCATCTCTGTTTTTGACATGTCAGTTATATGTAATCATGGTAATGGAATCTCTCATCACCTACAGTATTAGATATTGTAATACAATAATTAAATTTCAATGGCTTACCATTCCTGAATGTTCTCGTATATCTGGTTGACACATATTAAACGAATGTGTATTTTCTTATATAGTCTTTTTTAACAGAATGATACTTTGCAGAATGTCTTGTCAATTTGTTTAAAAACATATGTCACTGAATCTCTCTGAGATGGATAAAAAAATGCAGGGTCACGGATGTAATTAAGATATGAGATATTATTTGCGCAGGGAATTTAGAAATGGATAATAAGATGGAAAGGCGAACATGTAATGTATTTCTTATGGCCCAAAGCAATGAATCTGTCACTCAGTCATGTGTTGTAATGGCAAACCAAACCTCTGCCTTGTTAGGGTGGAAAAGAGGCGGAGCCAAGTCGGACCATGAGGAGGAATCAGCCAATGAACCGCCACCTCTGGACCGTAGAGAAAGTAAGAGTGAGATTCAGGTTCACCGGAAAGGTCGCATGTCTTTCAAGGCTGCCAGTCATGCAACCTTGACCTTTCTCAGTGCCAGAAAGAGGATTGAGGACGGAATAAAGACCTTGGGAAAACGTATGACCAAACGCGGAAGTCATGACGGTAAGTTGAACAATATTATTCAAACAAATTGAATGATTTTTGTGTAGAGATCTTGCCCTTAGTAGACAGCTACATCACCATGTAAGATCCGGGTAACAGTTTGTCTTCAGCAACCAATGCTTGTTGTAAGAGGTGACTAACGGGATGGGGTGGCTGACTTGGATGACGCATGTCATCATATCCCAATTGTGTAGATCAATGCTCATGATGTCAATCACAGGATTGTCTGGTCCAGACTTGATATTTTTACAGACCGCTGACATATAGCTGGAATATTGCTGTGTGGCGTTAAACAACAAACAAACAAACAAACAAACAAACAACAGTGTACCTCTGTCCAGACTCAATTATTTACGGGCCGTCATCATATAGCTGGAATATTGCTGAGAGTGACATTAAACAACAAACATCCAAACCTTCTACCAGTGTAACCATGGTAACTCTACAATCTCCTCAACCAAATTGCATTCTAGGGATGCCACACTGCCCTACACTTGTCTACCATGGAGACTAGACGTGACCAGGCTGAGTGTGTTACATGGATTGTTATCCCACGTCCAATCAGATTATTGCTCATGCTATCAATCACTGGTTTATCGACCCATGAAGATCTGGGGTAGAATAGATCTTCAGGAACATATTTTTACCGCAAAAGGCTCGATTATTTACAGACCGCCGTCATATGTCTGGAATATTGCTGAGTGCAGCGTTAAACAACAAAGAAACAAAACACTGGTTTGCCTGGCCCAATTATTTACAGTGTGCTGTGAGATAGCTGGAATATTGCCTCTTACGCACCCACTCATCCACCAACTCCAGTCTATGAAAAAAGTCATTATTATTATATTCCTCCTCAGATTTCCGCCATCCTCGAACTGGTGTGAACAGAGACGGAAACGCTGATACCAACTTTGAGCAAGAGAAGCGATTAGTTGACAAGTTCCTCATCAAGTCTGGGATGCTGAGATTCTCCTTCCTGCTGGAGTGCTGTCACCCCGGCGTCTTCCCCGACCCACATCTTGTAGCAGCCATGTTGGATTTGGTAAGAGCGCAACTGTCATTAAGTGATTGAATGAATGTTGTTCAATGGTAATAAGAATAGTAGGGCTATTTGCCTTTTGCCATTGCTGTGTACGTGTCATGGGGTGTAATTTCGTTTGTCTGCCATTTTGGTGCCGGTTCAACAATTATATGCACCCGATTCGTAGCACCCCATTCCTACTTTTTAATGTAACCATGTGCTGTCCGTGTGTTGACATTGTGCTACCTTGCCTTGCATTTGCCTGTATGGCGATGAAATGAGAAACTGCCAGTAAGTGGTCTTGAATGACTACCGGGAATATCTTTGTCTTTTTGTCAGCCACAGTATTCTGGTACAAGTGTTTTGGTCCTGCTGACATTAGTCAGTGACTCCTTCCATGTTAATTTTGAATATCTCAAAACTTGAAGGGAGGTGATGAACGAAAATAGGAAAAAATTCAGATTACTGTTACAGTTTGTTAATTAACCCCTAGACCAAAGCCTGAGTCTATTACAATTCTGTTATGTTTAGTAAGCTTGGCTAATAATAGTTCATATGATAAAACTAAAATTTACAGAAAATGATGCTGAGAGCCAAATTTAGGCTAGTGTACTGAATAGTTTTTTGTCATGGACTGTAGTTATTATGTCTAAGTGTCCTCCTTTTCTAACCTTGTCTGCAAAAACAAAATGTGATTACAGTGTAATGCTGTAATTGGACCCAGGGTTATATGTGACACACAAATGGATGTTCAGTATGTACAAATGTTGAGATTGGATGCAGAAAATTAAAATACTGCGCCCCAAGGGACGCACAATGATATTCATTGTATCTACAGCGCATCTAGAGCTGTTATGGGTGTCTGTCATTTCATCCATCAATCATGACCACCGTCCACATGATCATTGATTTATTCCAGGCTTTAAAGTAATTGTCAAAACATACAGTCCACTGCACCATTTCATTACTATATAGGACCCTCTGCCTTATACTGCCTGCAAGGACCCTTAAAAGTAATGTTTCGGGGTCCAGGGGGTCCAGGGGGCCCAGGGGGCCCCCAACTTTTGTAAGTCAGGGTAAAATCCCTTGGCCCCGTTCCTCAAAGCGATCCTAGCGCTAAGGTGATCGTAAGTCCCATACTTTAACATAGGCTTACGATCATCGTAGTGCTAAGATCGCTTCAAGGAACGGGGCCCAGGACCCCTTTAGTTGGGGTCCCTTCCTGATGATCCCTGTGTTGAATATCTCCATAACTACAAAGTGATAGTACTCCATGCCCTTGACTGGTTAATGTGTTTGTCTGGAGGATTTCACAGGGAATTGTTCAGTACAGATTTACACGACTTTGCTGCATACAGAAAATATTTCCTTGTTGATGATGTCCTGCTTCTAGAGGTGAAATGTTACATTGGTGCACTGGTGCTTCGTGAGATTTCATGCTCCGATACGATATACAATACATTTTTTTCTGTACTGAGTTAAGTTCACTACTAAAAATAGGGGCGGTTGGGTAGCCTAGTGGTTAAAGCGTTCGCTCGTCATGCTGAAGATCCGGGTTCGATTCCCGACATGGGTACAATGTGTGAAGCCCATTTCTGGTGTCCCCTGCTGTGATATTGCTGGAATATTGCTAAAAGCAGCGTAAAACCATACTCACTCACTCACTACTAAAAATAGCCGCAATGAACATGTGTCTACAGCTAGCTTTTCCTTTGAACCTGCTCTGAACTATATAGAGTCAAGACATTTCCATGCGAATTGACGTAAATATGCATATTGCCAAACAGATCGTATTGTGAACTTTGTATGATGATACTTATCATATCGTGACCTTGCTGTATCGTTTCACCTCTACCTGCTTCTATTCCCAGGATGCCCCTGTGTCGGCCAGGGCTTCTCTGCTGTTGGAGTGCGCCCACTTCATTCATCGCTGTAACCGTGGTGACTGGCCGAACTGGATGAAGCTGAACTTGCCAAGTTTCCGGCACACTGTGGCGGCCCTGCAGAACCGCGGCCAGCCGTCAGGGTACCGACGTAACCTCATGCTGCAGAAGGCTGCGGGGAGACTCTTCTACTCCTGGGCGGAGGTCAGTGCTGTACTCCCACATGTCTTACACACCTGTGAGGGGTGGTCAGGTAGCCTAGTGGTTAAAGTCACGCTGAAGACCTGGGTTCTATTCCCTATATAGGTACAACGTGTGAATCCCATTTCTGGTGTTCCTTGCTGTGATATTGCTGGAATATTGCTATAAGCGGCGTAAAACAATACTCACTCACTCACAACACAAATGTGGGTGAGAGACACATTTGAGATCACTGGTATCAAACATAAAAAATAGATTAAGGACTTAAAGAATATCTGGGAGCTACAGATAAGCAGTGTATTTGTGTAAAATAACCCCCCCCCAAATATTCAAAACCCAATTTCTTTCAAGTAACTTGCGTACAGAAATGCATGCATTAAATGAAAAACTCAAATGTATAAAAACAGGACACGTAAATACCCAATAAAGCTTTTCCAGCATGCGTATAAAGGAGCTAATTTCCGAAACACAATCACGAGCTAATTTACCTTCCAAGCCAAGCCTATATGTTTAGAACACTGGTATACATCGAAAACATTATTTTTAATTTTTTTTAAATCTTAAAATGCTCACTAATTTCGGGAAAAAAACAAAAGAGTGATGAATAGATGAGACGAAAAATATTGGTTACCCAGTGAAATATGTAATAACCCAATTAAAAGAGAAAGCCTAGAGTAAAAACTCAATTGCTCAAAAATTATCTGGAGCTCTGATATCTTTTTTCACAAGCTGAAATATATACAGCATGTTTTAGAGATATAGAATGCCAGTGAACACTGTTCAGGACAGTTAATGAATGAGTTGCTGACTGCCCTGTTGTAGAACCTGGGCAACCAGATGGAGTACATACTGGCCAAAGAGCACAGCGACAGACTGGACATCATCAACGACGTCAAGGACGAGGGACGCAGGAAGGAGCTCAGGACGGAGGACGATGAGGAGGACTTCCTGGATGAAGGTAGGGGAATCTTGTCAGATGGATCCAGCATGTTTAACCTTGGGGGTTATGGTGGAAGGGTTCAATAGTATACACCAGTGTCTCAATGACAAGAAGGTATATTTAAAAATAAGAAAACATCAACATGCCTTGTAGTGCAACAATTCAGTGTGTCGCGGTATAAAAGGAAGTTCGATCAAATCGTGTGAAAGAAAAACCTTGTGCAGCATGGACTAGCTGGAGTCATGACATGTAATATTGAACAACTTCTCATCACCTGCCCCTGTGGCTCGGTGGGAAAACAATGGGTTACAAAACTTTACACGATATGTAAGGTTGCATGCTCGATTCACATCATGGAATTTTCATTTAATTTTATTTTTTATTTTTAACCAATCATCAAGCACAATTGTGTTCATATCAAGATCAATTTTAAAACCTTGGTATTACAAATTAAATGTAAAATCTCAAAGCAGATTTAGAACCCATTTCAAAACCTGGGTTTGGAAGATGAACTGGTTTCTAGGTTTACCTGAGGTTGTGAGGAACCTAATTTAGGGTAATACAGTGATAACTTTATAAGGATTTTTAAAACATGCTTTTTTTAACTTCATGTATAATGTGTTGTTTTCTGCCCGCAGCGTCTGTGAACAGTTCTGGGACTGAGTGTCCATACGCTCTGAAGATGCTGGGCTGTCTGGTCCTGATGGAGATCACCACCTTCTTGAGGGAGACGTTCCAGTACCTGCCTCGCTCCCGCAGCCAGAAGCGAGATCACATCTGGGAGAAGACAGTCACGTCACGGCGTTTCAGCAGCATCGTCAGCAGCCCCGGACACTCCGACAAGAGCTCCGAGTCCAATGTTGCTGATCTTCCACAGAGCACAGGTACATGGACACAAAGGCAATCAGAGAAGAGCTCTGAGTCAAATGTTGCTGATCTGCCACAGAGTACAGGTACATGGACACTCAGACACTCAGACAAGAGCTCCCAGTCCAATGTTGCCGATCTGCCACAGAGCTCAGGTAAGTGGACACTCAGACACTCAGACAAGAGCTCCGAGTCCAATGTTGCTGATCTGCCACAGAGCACAGGTAAGTGGACACTCAGACAAGAGCTCCGAGTCCAATGTTGCCGATCTGCCACAGAGCACAGGTAAGTGGACACTCCGACAAGAGCTCCGAGTCCAATGTTGCCGATCTGCCACAGAGCACAGGTAAGTGGACACTCCGACAAGAGCTCCAAGTCCAATGTTGCTGATCTGCGACAGAGCATAGGTAAGTGGACACTCCGACAAGAGCTCCGAGTCCAATGTTGCCGATCTGCCACAGAGCATAGGTAAGTGGACACTCCGACAAGAGCTCCGAGTCCAATGTTGCTGATCAGTCAACAGAGCATAGGTAAGTGGACACTCCGACAAGAGCTCCGAGTCCAATGTTGCCGATCTGCCACAGAGCATAGGTAAGTGGACACTCCGACAAGAGCTCCGAGTCCAATGTTACCGATCTGCCACAGAGCATAGGTAAGTGGACACTCCGACAAGAGCTCCGAGTCAAATGTTGCCGATCTGCCACAGAGCTCAGGTAAGTGGACACTCAGACTCTCCGACAAGAGCTCCGAGTCCAATGTTGCTGATCTTCCACAGAGCACAGGTACGTGGACACTCAGACACTCCGACAAGAGCTCCGAGTCCAATGTTGCCGATCTGCCACAGAGCATAGGTAAGTGGACACTCCGACAAGAGCGCTGAGTCCAATGTTACCGATCTGCCACAGAGCATAGGTAAGTGGACACTCCGACAAGAGCTCCGAGTCAAATGTTGCCGATCTGCCACAGAGCTCAGGTAAGTGGACACTCAGACTCTCCGACAAGAGCTCTGAGTCCAATGTTGCAGATCTTCCACAGAGCACAGGTACGTGGACACTCAGACACTCCGACAAGAGCTCCGAGTCAAATGTTGCTGATCTGCCACAGAGCACAGGTACATAGTAGGGCTGGGACGGGTAGCTCGGGTACTCGGGTCGGGTGGGTACCGAGTAGGACCCGGGTACCAACTGGACTACCCTGACCCCAGGTTGGTCATGTGATGTATTGTTTAATGATTAAAAATATCCAGATGGTTACAGTACAAGTCACTAATGTTCACATTTCTTTCTGACTAAGCGCCATAGCTTCTGACCTTAATAGGTTTGAATAAAAATGACACTTCAGTCAACTTCAGTGTATGCATGACCAGATCGTTTTATACATATATTTAAATACATTTTACTAGGGCTACGGTCAAACTATTTCCAATCTGACATTTTGTACCAAACTCTGAGACCTGTAGCGGGTACCCAGGTAGGGTCGGGTAATAGCGGGTTGGGTACCCGGGTAGTACATTTGGACTGGTCCCGGCCCTAGTACATGGACACTCCTAATAAGACAAGAGCTTTGCTGATGTGCCACAGAGCACAGATTGCTGAAGGACATTTCAAGATCTCGGAGCTTAACTGACTCCCAGTGTTTGATTGTTTCTATGATGAAAACAACTTCCTTGAAAAGGTCAGGTTTTATTTTGTAAAAATGTTTCAAATGAATGAACAGTTCAGACCTACCTGTTCTCCCTGCACAGGTCCTGTCGGAAGTCCTGGAGATCGCAAGATCAGCTTCGCGGTGCTGACAGAGAGGTCCGACTCCTTCCACAGTAGCACGACGTCCATCTCCGTCCTGGGCAGTCTAGACACCGGGGATGAGAAAAAGGACAGAGGTGAGATCATGCTACATGCTGGATCCTGGAGTAAGGTCTAACCATTATGTAATCTCTGGAGGGGGAGAGGGGGAGGGGGGAGTTTTGCTGGAGACTATTGCTTCACTGCTAGACATAAGATAGAAGTTCGTTCACTTTTTTCAGGACAACATGTTCAGTGAACAAGTTCTCTTTTTCTTCAGCATATAATGTGGGGGGATATAGTTGACACCTCGTCTGTCTGTCCGTCCATCTGTCTGTCTATCCGGGAGATATGTCCTGAAGTGGTGCCTTTTGCTTTTTGCGGTGTGTTTGTCCAGACCATATCCAGGTTGTCAACTGGTGCCTTTTGCTGTTTAGGGAATTTTCGAATTGATATTTTTTCTGTTTCCATGGCAAAAGGTTGATTTTGACTCTGTTCATAGTGGTGTATGTACCTGACATAGAAATACTAAGTTCCAAATCCCAATTCCATGGTATTGTTTTGATAGCTCAAAAAGTACTCTTTTATATCGAGACCGATCAGATAGAAATTCTCATCCATTTGTTCGTTCGAATTTGTGGGGGCCAGGGGGATTTTTCATTTTCTGATGACTCTTGTTTATTTATGAAATATTCCAGGCACCATCCATATTCCTGGGTTTCACCAGTGGTGAACGTCTGAGACCTGCATCACTTCAGGCTTTCCTCCCACATTAAGCTGACTCACTGTGATATAACTGAAAAACTGTTTAACACAATGACCAATTCTTTAGCTCACCTTATCCAGGAATTTGTTTGACGTGACAGAGTTTCAAACGTGAGTGTGTAATTCCAGGCAGGAGATTGGCCCAGGGTCGTCAGAAGCTGCTGCGCCACTTCCGTCGGGGTTCGGGGCAGCACAACGCCAGCTTCCGCCACAACCGCAGCTTCAAGCTGAAGCGAGCGGAGGGCGGAGGGGGGAGTGAGTATACTGATACCTTCTGTAGATGTAAAACACCAGCGGAGAGCCAGGCTTGGAAGATGCTTAAATATCCTGGCATAGTTGTTTAGAAATAATTCTAGATACAGGATGTAGTTTAACAGAGATGAGATAGGTAATCATTGGTAGATTCTGTTACACTGGGTAGTTCTCACATTTGCTGTAACTATTCTTTGAATGCAAACGGGAAAATTTTTTTGGGACCTGTTCGTCAAATTGAAAGGTCATTACAAGAGCATGTTTGTGATTCTAAAACTGTTTGAGTTACTTCCCTTAGATATGCCATGATCAGTTGATTGTGGGTAAAGCCAGGATTATGATGCTTGGTTTGTGAGCATGGTACCTGTCCTTGTAGGTTTCACATAAGTGATAAATGTTTGTATATAAATTTTAAAAAATGAGGTTTATTATTTTTTAGGTAGAAAAAATCCAACCAAATTTGAAATGAATTGGTAAATTTAAATAGTAATGTTTGTATTTGTAGAACAATTTCAGCAGTTTAAACAAGAGCCAAATTTGGTCTCTTTGTCCATTATTTGTATAAAATACAGTAGAACCTTGTTAACCCAGACCAAGAATCACATTGCACCTTAATAATCAGGAAACCTCACTAATCTGGACACCTTGTTTCTGAATAGCTACATTATCAAACTGAGCCAAGTATCCAAAACTTTCCATCCTCATCTTTTGTAGCAGATATTTCTTCATACATATTGTCATAAACTAAGCTAACAAGACTTACTCTTGTCTCTTGTTTAACGTCTTCTTGTTAATTCTAGCTTTTCCGCATTTTGACTGTAAATCTGGGCCCGTTTCATGAAGGATCTTAGAGTTACGACAGCCATCAACCTTTATCATACCTCCATGTCAGAATGATGAGATCTGATTGGTCCATGTGATCTTGATAAAATACTGTTTAACCCGCCTTGGAGGGGAATAAATTTCTCAGCGGGGGAATAAGTCTCTTATACCCCGCCACGAGCAAGTCAGGCTGCAAGTGGATATCTTAGATTCAGAATGAATCCCCTTTACCCTGCTTCAAAGCAAAAAGCTGCGCTCTTTTTCCAAGTCAATGGAGGTTACAGGACATGGTGCAAGCTAACCTCAGCTCAATCGAACAGCTGTTTTCTTTCAATTTTGAATTTGTTTCGTCGGTAAGATAACTTCTTTTGCAGCAGGATGACGATGCCTCCGGCTCGTGGTATAAAATCTAATGCGGGACGCATAAAACCCCATGTACCCCTCGTGATCCTGCTACAACTTATAATGTAAAACGGTAGCGCTAAGATAGCTTTGTGAAATGTGGCCCTGATGATTGTTATGGAAAATTGAGTGTGTGGATTAGCGAGGTTCGAGTGTAAATGAATAACTCTGTGGTTAGGCATGAAGCAGACTAGCAGTATCAACCACAGCTTCAAGCTGAAGAGACCCGAGGCCGACTTCGAGAGTAAGTGTTCCACTTTCACACTCATACCATCGTATTAACACTTGGTTTGCTTCTTCATTTGTAGAGTGGTCCTCTTTTAGAGACCATTTCTGAATAACTTTTGTAGGATTTTTTTGCATCTTCCAAATCCAAGGTTTTGATTTGAAGCATAAAAGGTAAGCGCTTTGACATACATGTATTTGTATTAAGAAGAATATAGACCATGGCATGCACGTTACTTTTGTTAATCATTTTGGAAGAAATTTTCTTTTATTCATATGCAGTTTCTTTGCTGTTTGCTACTGCTGCATCGTCCCTCATCATCGTCTTGTACAGAGATAGAACTTAAACTTGGAAATCTGCTGGTCCAAATAGACAAAACCTGAAGCGAAATGGAAATGAACTTGTACTTTTACCATTGGATTTGCTGATTTCTTTGGTCAGATTTCTTAAAACTCATCTTAAGGCTGGATTCACACGACCATTCATTTTATGGGATGCGTAACGAACTGCGATTTCTGGAACATTCTGTATGCAAAGTTGCTTCCAAGTACTGTGAATGAGATGCTGACTGGAACAAAGGCAATAGTGTAATCTTAAAAAAGGAAATAGGTGATTTCACAAAGAAAGTACTGTAACTTAAAACATGTTCATATAATCCATGACATAAGGAAGAGAACTTATGGATGTCAAATTCTTTATTATGAGGAACACAACTTTATGGAGTATATACTTACTCCTTCTGATGGAGGAGTAAGCCTATACTCTGAAACGTGGTGTTGACATCAATAAATTCTCCACCTCATGTGTATCACTTCTAAATGCCTTTCAAAGACTTAATCTATGACATTTACCCGGTAATAGTTATTATGCAAAAAACACAAACAATCATACACAGATCCATATATATATGTGAAAAAAAATTTGTGATGCGTTAAAAATAGGTGCATCATTTTCAATGCATAGGAATATATCACATCCATTCAGTGTGTTTGGTTGGGTAGGAAACTCATGATGCTAATGTGTTTTCTTTACATTGTTTTGTTACGGAATGCGTGAAGTTATTTTAAACTATGGTCTTTGCATGAATCCAGCCTCAACAAGAAAAGAGTAGACAATTTTGTTTTTTGTTTTATGATAATATTAAAATAAATTATCCTAACTATGCATCAATTGCACTTGATTGGCAAGGAGGAATTACATCTAACTTGAGCAGCTGGCTACAGTTTGGTTCTACCTCTGTGTACAAACATTATTTCTGTTTACTGATATCCATACCAACCAACTCCCATGTACCTGTGTGTCTACTGACTGCCACATGTAGCTGTGTGTCTACTGACTGTCACATGTAGCTGTATGGCTACTGACTGTCACATGTACCTGTGTGTCTACTGACTGTCACATGTACCTGTGTGTCTACTGACTGCCACATGTAGCTGTGTGTCTGATGACTGCCACATGTACCTGTGTGTCTACTGACTGCCACATGTAGCTGTGTGTCTACTGACTGCCACATGTACCTATGTATCTACTGACTGCCACATGTACCTGTGTGCCTACTGACTGCCACATGTAGCTGTGTGTCTGATGACTGCCACATGTACCTGTGTGTCTACTGACTGCCACATGTACCTGTGTGTCTACTGACTGCCACATGTACATGTGTGCCTACTGACTGCCACATGTACCTGTGTGGCTACTGACTGCCACATGTACATGTGTGCCTACTGACTGCCACATGTACCTGTGTGTCTACTGACTGCCACATGTACATGTGTGCCTACTGACTGCCACATGTAGCTGTGTGTCTACTGACTGCCACATGTACCAGTGTGTCTTCTGACTGCCACATGTAGCTGTGTGTCTACTGACTGCCACATGTACCTGTGTGTCTACTGACTGCCACATGTGGCTGTGTGTCTACTGACTGTCACATGTACCTGTGTGTCTACTGACTGCCACATGTAGCTGTGTGGCTACTGACTGTCACATGTACCTGTGTGTCTACTGACTGTCACATGTACCAGTGTCTTCTGACTGCCACATGTACCTGTGTGTCTACTGACTGCCTTATGTAGCTGTGTGTCTACTGACTGCCACATGTTCCTGTGTGTCTACTGACTGCCACATGTACCTGTGCCACGTGTGTTCCAGGCATAAAGCACGCAGGCAGTATCCGGTCCCGCAAGGTGAGCAGCCAGTCCCTGCAGTCGGAGGCCAAGTTTGTGGAGGAGGATCCAGGTGTGGAGGACACCGAGTCGGTGACCATGCTGAGTGACGACACCCAGGAGAGCCCCGTGGAGAAGGATGAGGAGGCGGAGGATGAGAAACTCTGCTCCAACTTCCCCTGGATCAAGGTAGGGAAGAGAGGGGTCTATGGAGTGTGTGAGTGAGTGAGTGAGTGAGTGAGTGAGTGAGTTGGGTTTAGTGCTGCTTTGACAATACTTTTGTCATGAGATGCTGCCAAACCAGGGATCATCAGCAGGGTTGTGGAATTTGAATAACAGAGCAGTGGATCCCGTCAGATAAGGGAGACAACTCTGCACAGTTGACAACTCGGGAATGGGCCCATCACTGCCTGCCAGTGGTACATATATGTGTACGATTATCTGCAGTGTGTCTGCAATTTATCTGAGTATCTGTCCCAAGTTTGCAGTATCTGCAGTGTGTCTGCAATGAATCTGAATGTCTGCTGTATGTGTATGCAGTGTGTCTGTAGCAGCAAGTCTGCAGTAAATCTGCTGTGTCTCTGGCAAGTCTGCAACGTTTGCACTATGTCTGTATCAAGGCTCCAATAGGTCTGCAGTGTGTCTGTATCAAGTCTGTAGTAAATCTGCAGTGTGTCTGTATCAAGTCTGCAGTAAAACTACAGTGTCTGTATCAAGTCTGCAGAGATCTGCAGTGTCTCTGTATCATGTCTGCAGTAAATCTGCAGTGTGTCTGTATCAAGTCTGCAGTAAATCTACAGTGTCTGTATCAAGTCTGCAGTAAATTTGCAGTGTGTCTGTATCACGTTTGCAGTAAATCAGCAGTGTGTATCAAGTCTGCAGTTAATCTGGAGTGTTTGTAGCAAGTCTGCTGTAAATCTGCAGTGTATCAAGTCTACAGTAAATATACAGTGTCTGTATCAAGTCTGCAGTAAATCTACAGTGTGTGTATATCACGTCTGCAGTAAATCTGCAGTGTGTCTGTATGAAGTCTGCGGTAAGATTACAGTGTGTCTGTATCATGTCTGCAGTATATATACAGTGTCTGTTTCATGTCTGCAGTAAATCTGCAGTGTATCTGTATCAAGTCTGCGGAGATCTGCGGTGTGTCTGTATCATGTCTGCAGTAAATCTGCGGTGTGTCTGTATCAAATCTGCAGTAAATATACACTATCTGTTTCAAGTCTGCAGTAAATCTGCAGTGTATCTGTATGAAGTCTGCAGAGATCTGCAGTGTGTCTGTATCAAGTCTGCGGTAAGATTACAGTGTGTCTGTATCATGTCTGCAGTATATATACAGTGTATGTTTCATGTCTGCAGTAAATCTGCGGTGTGTCTTTATCATGTCTGCAGTAAGCCTTCAGTGTGTCTGTATCATGTCTGCAGTAAATCTGCAGTGTGTCTGTATCAAATCTGCAGTAAATATACACTATCTGTTTCAAGTCTGCAGTAAATCTGCAGTGTATCTGTATGAAGTCTGCAGAGATCTGCAGTGTGTATGTATCAAGTCTGCAATAAATCTATAGTGTGTCTGTATCAAGTCTACAATAAACCTTCAGTGTGTCTGCTTTCTGTCCAGGTTGTGGTCCAGCTTGCCAACCTCTCCAACTTCATCTGCACCCACCAGAACTACTGCCACCCCAACTGTTACGAACGCCAACGACGAAGCTGCTCACGCCTCATAACATCACTGAGGAAGGTATACCATTCCACAGAGGAGGACGAGAAACTGGACGCTCTGAAACCTGACCTGAAGAAGGACAACCTCCGCGAGAAGCTCAAGAGAAGGGTCCGTCTACTGCGTTTGTTTGTTTTGCTTTTTTGTTTGTTAGTTATTAAACACAATATCCCGCTATATATCAGTAGCCAGTAATTGTCTGAGTCTTGACCATACAATCCATGTTAAAGTATGGGAGTTACGACTGTCTAAGAACGTTTTGTGAAATGGGCCCAGTGTTGTAGTCTGTTTTGCACTCTTTGGATGATATCATGTTCTGTGCAGACTTTGTTCTTTTCTTAACTCCAAACAATGGTAATAACTTCACATTAAATAAATCCGGTTTCCATATTTCTTATTATGTCATATGTACAATTTACATATATCTGGAGTCTGTATTTCAATATTAACAGCTTTGACATCATAGTTTCGCTGTGTTGATTTCTGGATATCAAAAACCATTCTTCCAAATTTACGCTGGTCTGCTAGCCTGAGACTACTGCATTGTGCTGAGGACAGGCATAATCCAATGATGGTAGTCCTCGTTGACTCATAGCATTTGAGTGCTATAATCCTGAACCAGTTCTCATGTTTCAGTTTTGCTATAAATTGGGCCTGAATACCTCTTCAGAAAACCCGATTCAGCATCCAAAGAGTTTGATAGGTTTCTGTTGTGTTTGAAGGAGTCCATTTTTCAACTGACCTCCCCAACACGGCGCCGAGAGAGCACCCCGCTCTTGGAAAAGATCAAGACGGACGTCTCCATGACCAAACTGAAGCTCAACTCCACATGGAAGAAAGACGACAAGCCCAAGGAGGTCAAAGAGGAAGCCCCGGTCGTCAAGTACTTGACTTCACAGGTGGGGCAGTAGTGTATTAAACAGATACCACATTATATAGATGTATTGGTTGGCAACAGTGAACTTTGAGGTTTGACATGTCTTACTTGATATCTGTAGATCTGAATTATTTATCATGACTTGCTGGCAACAACTGCAGTAATTTTGATCTTACCGTAAACAAAGTTTATAACGAACACGCTTATAGCAAATGTAATGAACTTACATTTTAGTCCTGGCCATTTGCTGTATATATGCTGTATATATGCTGTATGTATGCTGTATGTATGCTGTATATATGCTGTATGTATGCTGTATATATGCTGTATATATGCTGTATGTATGCTGTATATATGCTCTATGTATGCTGTATACATGCTGTATGTATGCTGTATGTATGCTGTATATATGCTGTATGTATGCTGTATATATGCTGTATGTATGCTGTATATATATGCTGTATGTATGCTGTATGTATGCTGTATATATGCTGTATATATGCTGTATGTATGCTGCTGTATGTATGCTGTATGTATGCTGTATATATGCTGTATGTATGCTGTATATATATGCTGTATGTATGCTGTATGTATGCTGTATATATATGCTGTATATATGCTGTATGTATGCTGTATATATATGCTGTATGTATGCTGTATGTATGCTGTATATATGCTGTATATATGCTGTATGTATGCTGCTGTATGTATGCTGTATGTATGCTGTATATATGCTGTATGTATGCTGTATATATATGCTGTATGTATGCTGTATGTATGCTGTATATATGCTGTATATATGCTGCTGTATGTATGCTGTATGTATGCTGTATATATGCTGTATGTATGCTGTATATATGCTGTATATATGCTGTATGTATGCTGTATATATATGCTGTATGTATGCTGTATGTATGCTGTATGTATGCTGTATGTATGCTGTATATATGCTGTATATATGCTGTATGTATGCTGTATATATGCTGTATGTATGCTGTATGTATGCTGTATATATGCTGTATATATGCTGTATATATGCTGCTGTATGTATGCTGTATGTATGCTGTATGTATGCTGTATATATATGCTGTATGTATGCTGTATGTATGCTGTATATATGCTGTATATATGCTGTATATATGCTGCTGTATGTATGCTGTATGTGTGCTGTATGTATGCTGTATATGTGCTGTATGTATGCTGTATGTGTGCTGTATATATGCTGCTGTATGTATGCTGTATGTATGCTGTATATATGCTGTATATATGCTGTATGTATGCTGTATGTATGCTGTATATATGCTGTATATATGCTGTATGTATGCTGTATGTATGCTGTATATATATGCTGTATGTATGCTGTATGTATGCTGTATGTATGCTGTATATATGCTGTATGTATGCTGTATGTATGCTGTATATATGCTGTATGTATGCTGTATGTATGCTGTATATATATGCTGTATGTATGCTGTATGTATGCTGTATATATGCTGTATATATGCTGCTGTATGTATGCTGTATGCGTGCTGTATGTATGCTGTATATGTGCTGTATGTATGCTGTATGTGTGCTGTATATATGCTGCTGTATGTATGCTGTATGTATGCTGTATATATGCTGTATGTATGCTGTATATATGCTGTATATATGCTGTATGTTTGCTGTATGTATGCTGTATATATGCTGTATATATGCTGCTGTATGTATGCTGTATGTATGCTGTATGTATGCTGTATATGTGCTGTATGTTTGCTGTATATTTGCTGTATGTATGCTGTATATATGCTGTATATATGCTGTATATATGCTGTATATGTGTTGTATGTATGCTGTATGTATGCTGTATATATGCTGTATATATGCTGTATGTTTGCTGTATGTATGCTGTATATATGCTGCTGTATGTATGCTGTATATATGCTGTATGTATGCTGTATGAATGCTGTATGTATGCTGTATGTATGCTGTATATATGCTGTATATGTGCTGTATGTATGCTGTATGTATGCTGTATGTATGCTGTATATATGCTGTATGTATGCTGTATATATGCTGTATATATGCTGTATGTATGCTGTATATATGCTGTATGTATGCTGTATGTATGCTGTATACATGCTGTATGTATGCTGTATGTATGCTGTATATATGCTGTATGTATGCTGTATATATGCTGTATATATGCTGTATATATGCTGTATGTATGCTGTATATATGCTGTATATATGCTGTATATATGCTGTATATATGCTGCTGTATGTATGCTGTATATATGCTGTATGTATGCTGTATGAATGCTGTATGTATGCTGTATATATGCTGTATATATGCTGTATATGTGCTGTATATATGCTGTATGTATGCTGTATGTATGCTGTATGTATGCTGTATATATATGCTGTATATATGCTGTATGTATGCTGTATATATGCTGTATATATGCTGTATATATGCTGCTGTATGTATGCTGTATGTATGCTGTATATATGCTGTATGTATGCTGTATATATGCTGTATGTATGCTGTATATATATGCTGTATTATGCTGTATGTATGCTGTATATATGCTGTATATATGCTGTATATATGCTGCTGTATGTATGCTGTATATATGCTGTATGTATGCTGTATTAGTGCTGTATGTATGCTGTATATATGCTGTATATGTGCTGTATATATGCTGTATGTATGCTGTATGTATGCTGTATGTATGCTGTATATATGCTGTATGTATGCTGTATATATGCTGTATATATGCTGTATGTATGCTGTATATATGCTGTATGTATGCTGTATGTATCCTGTATACATGCTGTATGTATGCTGTATGTATGCTGTATATATGCTGTATGTATGCTGTATATATGCTGTATATATGCTGTATGTATGCTGTATGTATGCTGTATATATATGCTGTATGTATGCTGTATGTATGCTGTATATATGCTGTATATATGCTGTATATATGCTGCTGTATGTATGCTGTATGTGTGCTGTATATATGCTGTATATGTGCTGTATGTATGCTGTATGTGTGCTGTATATATGCTGCTGTATGTATGCTGTATGTATGCTGTATATATGCTGTATGTATGCTGTATGTATGCTGTATATATGCTGTATATATGCTGTATGTTTGCTGTATGTATGCTGTATATATGCTGTATGTATGCTGTATGTATGCTGTATGTATGCTGTATATGTGCTGTATGTTTGCTGTATATTTGCTGTATGTATGCTGTATATATGCTGTATATATGCTGTATATGTGTTGTATGTATGCTGTATATATGCTGTATATATGCTGCTGTATGTATGCTGTATGTATGCTGTATGTATGCTGTATATATGCTGTATGTATGCTGTATGTATGCTGTATATATGCTGTATGTATGCTGTATGAATGCTGTATGTATGCTGTATATATGCTGTATATATGCTGTATATGTGTTGTATGTATGCTGTATGTATGCTGTATGTATGCTGTATATATGCTGTATATATGCTGTATATGTGTTGTATGTATGCTGTATGTATGCTGTATATATGCTGTATATGTGTTGTATGTATGTTGTATGTATGCTGTATGTATGCTGTATGTATGTTGTATGTATGTTGTATGTATGCTGTATGTATGCTGTATGTATGTTGTGTGTATGCTGTATGTATGCTGTATATATGCTGTATATATGCTGTATGTTTGCTGTATGTATGCTGTATGTATGCTGTATATATGCTGCTGTATGTATGCTGTATGTATGCTGTATGTATGCTGTATATATGCTGTATATATGCTGTATGTATGCTGTATGAATGCTGTATGTATGCTGTATGTATGCTGTATATATGCTGTATATATGCTGTATATGTGCTGTATGTATGCTGTATGTATGCTGTATATATGCTGCTGTATGTATGCTGTATGTATGCTGTATGAATGCTGTATGTATGCTGTATGTATGCTGTATGTATGCTGTATATATGCTGTATATGTGCTGTATGTATGCTGTATGTATGCTGTATATATGCTGCTGTATGTATGCTGTATGTATGCTGTATGAATGCTGTATGTATGCTGTATGTATGCTGTATATATGCTGTATATATGCTGTATATGTGTTGTATGTATGCTGTATGTATGCTGTATATATGCTGTATATATGCTGTATGTATGCTGTATGTATGCTGTATATATGCTGTATGTATGCTGTATGTATGCTGTATATATGCTGTATGTATGCTGTATATATGCTGTATATATGCTTACAATCAACTTTGGTCATAGTAACTAAAATTTGTGATCCCTTCGAGTTGATGACCCTAGTTTAATGAATTTGATGTTTAATTAATTTGATGAATATGACACGTTCATGGCTTTCTTCCAAATGTAGGACATCTTATAAAGTCAAGAAATTTAGCACATGAGGGAGTTGTGTCATTTATGATAAGTTATAAACATTTATTTAACTCTTTCAACACCGTAGGCCAGTATACCGGCCAAGAAGCATCGAGTCCCCAGACACTGCAGGCCGGTTATCCGGCCAAGCAGTAGTCACGTCAAAATAGTATATATTTTTATGGACCTACCTGTAATATCATTCATTTATTAAATCTATCACATTTCACAATGTCTGAAATACCTTCTTCATTTCAATTTATCATTTTTTATCGATAAATTAAAAAATTATTCACTATTTCCCGCGATGTTATTGAAAATATAATTCTCGGACACACATTTCGACAACGGGTCCACATCGAACATGTCAAAGAGCAGAGTAAAGACGTTTTAAACAAATCTTTAAATATATTATTCAAAGTACTAAATAAAATCAACAAAAATATATATCTAAAAGTAATCAAACTTACATCTAAGTTATTATTTCCATCTTTTTGTGTGATCGCGTGTAATGTAAGTCAAATGACATAGATCTCGGCTTTCGTCGCCTTGAATTCTCGGCTCGGACACGATGTTTAATGCAAAAATATATGCATGAAAAATCTTTGTCACAGCTCGTAACCTAGCACGATGCATTCATGAAGTTCCATATTTTTAATATATATCGTCATTATCTGCTTAAAACGTTCAGAATAACACGATTTAACAAAAATGTTTCGTCAACTTCTGAAATTTATCAAACAGGAGCTTGGTAACACAGCTGTAATTTGATTGGCTGCCTTAGGTCACGTCCTCAAAATTGACCAATCACGAAACTTGTAGCAGATTTCCGCAAGAAAGCGTCATTAGAAACCAATTTTAATCCAATGAAATCGCTTGTTATAAACTACGTAAAAAAAAAAAGGCGATGTTCCCAGCGTGTAGATGACGGAATAACCTTTCCAGCGATGTGCCGAAAATCGTCAAGTTTTCGCTTCCTTGGTCCTGAATCTGGATGTTAACAACGTGTTAGCTTACATTTTTTATTTACAATGAACTTAATTAAGTTGTAAATGCATTATTTTAAATAATGTGATAAACATAACTTTCATATTTATAAACCATAGGATCAGACCTTTCAAATGATGTGTAACATGTAGTAGCAAATATATTTTACAAGCAGATATTTTCTTTGATAAATGTTGGCTTCATCTATCACACAAGAGTCTCTGGGAACTCAGTGTCCCAGCAGTAAACACTTCTGGTTGACTGGTGTTGAAAGAGTTAAGAAAAATTGTGTCATTGCCTGAACATAAAATTTAGATAAGGAAATGTGATTTTGCTTCAAGGCTGATTGTTAATATGGTTTTTAAATTTTGTTGATTTTGATTGCTTGTGAAGAAAGCACTGTTTATGTGACATTATAATTATAATAACAATTGTTACAACAAATTGAAGATGACATCTTGTCACAGAAGATTTTATGTGATTTTGAACCATAGGTGAACTTAGTGTCTCCTCATGTGATTGTCATTATTATGAACAACTTATTCATTATTTGTAAATGTGGATTAGCAAACCTATGAATATATGTTAAAAACGTAATTGTGATTGCTGGTAATTGCATTGATTACAAAAAGTGGTTCAGAGCTTGACCCCCTCCTTCCCTCAGGCTCAACGACTGACGCAGTGCCCAATGGCTATCCTGACCAAGGCTGCTCCGATCCTGCGAGTGGAACACTTCATCGACATCATGCCTGTAGCGTGGGAGTTGCTCCTTGAGTCTGACCAGGAACTAGCTGCAGCTGCAGGTGAGTGGAACACTTCATCGACATCATGCCTGTAGCATGGGAGTTGCTCCTTGAGTCTGACCAGGAACTAGCTGCAGCTGCAGGTGAGTGGAACACTTCATCGACATCATGCCTGTAGCATGGGAGCTGCTGCTTGAGTCTGACCAGGAACTAGCTTCAGGTGAGTGGAACTCTTTATTGACATTATGCCTGTAGTGTGGGAGTTCCTCCTTGAGTCTGACCAGGAACTAGCTGCTGGTGAGTGGAACACTTCATCGACATCATGCCTGTAGCATGGGAGTTGCTCCTTGAGTCTGACCAGGAACTAGCTACAGGTGAGTGGAACACTTCATCGACATCATGCCTGTAGCATGAGAGTTGCTCCTTGAGTCTGACCAGGAACTAGCTGCAGCTGCAGGTGAGTGGAACACTTCATTGACATTATGCCTGTAGTGTGGGAGTTGCTCCTTGAGTCTGACCAGGAACTAGCTACAGGTGAGTGGAACTCTTCATTGACATTATGCCTGTAGTGTGGGAGCTGCTCCTTGAGTCTGACCAGGAACTAGCTGCAGCTGCAGGTGAGTGGAACACTTCATCGACATCAAGCCTGTAGCGTGGGAGCTGCTCCTTGAGTCTGACAAGGAACCAGCTGCAGGTGAGTTGAACACTTCATTGACATCATGCTTGTAGTGTGGGAGTTGCTCCTTGAGTCTGACCAGGAACTAGCTGCAGCTGCAGGTGAGTGGAACACTTCGTTGACATCATGCCTGTAGTGTGGGAGCTGCTCCTTGAGTCTGACAAGGAACCAGCTGCAGGTGAGTTGAACACTTCATTGACATCATGCTTGTAGTGTGGGAGTTGCTCCTTGAGTCTGACCAGGAACTAGCTGCAGCTGCAGGTGAGTGGAACACTTCGTTGACATCATGCCTGTAGTGTGGGAGCTGCTCCTTGAGTCTGACAAGGAACCAGCTGCAGGTGAGTTGAACACTTCATTGACATCATGCTTGTAGTGTGGGAGTTGCTCCTTGAGTCTGACCAGGAACTAGCTGCAGCTGCAGGTGAGTGGAACACTTCATCGACATCAAGCCTGTAGCGTGGGAGCTGCTCCTTGAGTCTGACAAGGAACCAGCTGCAGCTGCAGGTGTGTGGAACACTTCATCGACATCAAGCCTGTAGCGTGGGAGCTGCTCCTTGAGTCTGACCAGGAAATAGCTGCAGGTGAGTGGGTCAGAGGGATTACTCAATGCCACAGACACATTCTGGGACTGGAGAATAGAAAGGTATGAGATGGTCCAAATCAATGTTTGAAACGATCTGCTCTCTATGATGTTGTAGATCATATTGTCAGCTTGTGATATTGAGTGTTATCGGATCTTGTTTCAAGCACGGGTTACTGGGGACCTGTCATACCGAGTCTTTCCTGGACCCCCATAAAGGAGTAGCTACATGAATCGCTCCTTTTCAAGAGCCTGTTTGCAAATGGACAAGGTTTCAAATTTCTAGACTTGTGATTAATTTGGCGAGTGAACTCTGTCGTGATGATTGCGTTTGTGTTGTAGCCACAGTGTTCCTGCTCTCGTCCGCCAAGTCCCCAGACAAGGCTCGCAACATGATCGTGAAGGAGCTGCAGCATGAAGAGACGGGTCAGAGGATCAACGCTGTACTCAGGTACGTTGAGCTTGTCGAGGGCTTGTTTGTTGTTTAACGCCACACTCAGCAATATTCCAGCTATATAAGGGCAGTCTGTAAATATTCGAGTCTGGACCAGACAATCCAGTGATTGATATCATGAGCATCGATCCACACAATTGGTATACGATGACATGCATCAACCAAGTCAGCGACCCTGACGACCCGATCCCGTTAGTCGCCTCTCACAACAGTCATGTGTGCTTGTGTGTGTGTACTAGTCCAGACTTATGCCACTTTCATTGTGCTAGCCCACTGAGATACCATGCCTCAGTTTAACATGGATACACCACTCAGACTCACTTTACTAACTCTGAGCCAACCAGTGCTTGTTTTATCCCCTTAATGCTTAGCACCAGGCAGGGAAACAAGTACCATCTTTTAACATCTTTTGTCGTGACACTGTAGGGGATGCTATTCGAGCATTGTTTTCAACAATCTGTTTGGATTTACCTTTAATGTTTTTATGTTACAGATTTGGTGCTTTATGGAGATACAGGTACCAAGTTTGGCCACGAATGGAAGAGGGCGCCAATAATTTGTTTAAGGTAGGATGTTTGTTTATGATACTGCTATGTCCACTTGTCAATAACCTCTGTAGCTCAAGACTAACAGGATTGGGTGGTCAGGTTATCTGACTTGGTTGATTCATGTCATCATATCCCAATTGCGTGGATCGATGCTCATGATGTCAATCACTGGATTGTCTGGTCCAGACTCGATCATTTGCAGACCACCGTCATATAGCTGCAATATTGCTGAGTGGGGCATTAAACAACAAACAAAAACAAACAAACAAACAAAATTAACTTGATTTGAAAATCAAATGTTTGAAAGTTGATTACAGGTTCTGGTTGTAATTTTTACCAGAGATAAACAGAAGAAACTCCTATCATATCCTCTTGCATTTTTAGAATTGTGAGTCTGTGCTGAAGTATGGAAGTCTTAGCGCTAAGATTATTTGTGGAATGCATCCCAGCATGATATAGCTGTTATAAACTGGAATACTTAACTGGCTTGAAACCCCGCCACACTGCCTGACTGGTGTGTTTGTAAGCAAGGATTAAATTCTACCTAAATAATATCCCGGGGGAAGTTTTACTCTAGAGTATGGTATAGGATAGGATTAAACACACTGGTAATGGTTCAAATTCACTTGGGAGAATCATCCTGACACCTGAGAATTTCAACCCCGGGATTAAAAATAGGGTAGGATAATATTGACTCTTACATGTGCAGGTGCCACCCCCCAGTATTGACTTCACCTTGCCGTCGCCAACCATCGGCCTCCCCAAACTGACGGTGGTCGATCCACCATGGATGCCGCACTTCAAGGCCAAGATTGAAGAAGTTACCCTCAACCTTGAAGACACGGTAATATTCACCCTAATGGTGTTAGTGCTACAGCAATAAAACAATTATCTTGGCATTACTCGACGGATGACAAAGTAGACACAACTACTTCATTATTGTAAAGGCTGCATTTCGGTATAGATCCTTATAAGGCTGCTTGACAATGGTATAAGGATCTAGACCGAAATGGCTGCTTGACAACGGCATAAGGATCTATACCAAAATGTCGCCTTTATGGTAAATAAAGAAGTTTTTATCCATAAATTTTTCTATCAGTTTGTCAAGACTGATACCCAAACCTTTCTGTGTTCACTAGCCCAAACGTTTCTGGCAAAGTGTTTTGTAGAGAGTTCATCCCAGGCAGTGTCATACCAAAAGACATTAAAAGATGGTACTTGTTGTTGCCCTGCCTGGCGCTAGGCATTAAGGGTCTAAAACAAGGACTGGTTGGCTCGGAATCAGTATACTGTGTCTGAGTGTGGTATTTATGTTAAACAGAGGCATGGTTTCTCAGTGGGCTAGCACTAATAAAATCGGCATTAGTCCGGACAAGTACAAGCAGACACACACGCACACATCCGTGCATGCATAATGCTATTTAGGTGCAATAATCTTGGCCGCAACGTAAAACCCCATTTTATCTCACCTCACCTGATGGCGTTTGTAGTTGTCCATGCACTCCACAACCAACAGACTTGATCTATATACAGGCCGCATGATAAAGTTTAAAATTGTACCTGCAGCATTGTACAAAACTCACACTCACCCCCACTAATTTCTATTACAGAAATCACTGGTAACTACGACGACGACAAGACGCAAACAACAGCAAGAAATGATTCGCCGAGCTCTTCAGGCTGAGGAGGAGAGAAAGCGAGTTGGGCGCGAGAACTTCCCCATGACAACGATTCCTGTGTGTCAGTTGGCGGCGTTTGAGCCGGCACTCCACCATGCATCAGAAGACCACGAAGAAGGTATTCTCTAGACTAGATGTAGGCAGCACACGTGTAGGGCTAGAGGACTGTATTTGTACTTGTTGTCAAAAGTGTTAACACTATTCAAGAAACTTGTCATGCTTATCTTTAGTCTTTCAAAACATTGTTTTCTATATTGTTCCAAATTCATGTATTATGTGCTTTGCAACAAGAAAATAAGTTTATGGTTGGTAAATATATTTTGAAAAAGTATTTTGTAAACATGCTTTCTTGGACTATTTCATTCCTACAGAATACTTTTCACCTTTTTGTATTATTATTTACTAATTCTATTAACTGCTGAACTGTTACATAAAGTTTCAGTATTATGAAAAGCTATGAAAAAAGTACTTTGAAAAACTGAAAAAAAGTACAATGTACTACGAAAAACTATGAAAAAGAGTACTGTTTGCTGTTAAAAGATGAAAAAGGACTATGTTCTATGAAACGATAAAGGTTCTCTTCCTACAGTGAAGAGAAGGGTGATTCAGGTGTTTAAGAAAGAATTTGAGAGGAAGTGTTTTTGCATAATGTTAACAGGTTTGACAGCAGTATTCCTAGTTTGACTGACATTGTTGTATAATCCAGTATTCCTTTCAGACAAGAGAATCCTGAGCATGAAATAAAACACCTGGCCCAACCCTCCCCATTCAAGTTGCTTGTTACGTTAAATATAAATTAGTTGAAAAGTTTATAAATTATAAAGTTTTCTAAAAAATACAATATCAGTTCACATCAAAAGTCAGACTGACAGCTTCAATTCCAAATTCCCCCGCCTTCTCTGCGCTAGTGCATTGCTCCTTCACTGTTGTTGGTGTGGGCAAGCTGAAAGTGTGTGCCTGGAATACGTAACCATGACGATCTGTACTCTTGGGATTGAATCTTTAAGTGTCCTGTTATTCCAGTTTTCTATTGGCACCAACTTTAAAGAACTTGTTTGATTACTGTGATCAATAGCAGGGTTGAATATTTACAAACCTCATTTTGAATCTGGGCAGTAGGGGTTAAATTAATCTGTGTGGTTTCATGCCACTGTGAACAATATTTCAGTAATGTCATTGCATCCTAGTGATAAGTGGGTCCATATGTCATTCTAAAGACATGGGTTTTATTTCCCGCAGGGTACAATATTTGAAGCCTATTTTTGTGTGCCTCATGGTGATATTGGTTGAATATTGCAAAAAGCAATGTCAAACTCCTATTTTGGAATTTCACCCTGAGATAATTTGACAACATCTCTCAATGCTGAAATGAAACTGGTGCAGGAACATTCATGACTTTGAGTACAAGCATGTTGTCTGGTTGCCTGGAAACAGTGCTGCCCCGTTGGCTTGTCTAGTTATGATGATTATGAACTGATGATGATATTGTTCTCACTTCAAGACTCTGTAATGGTAGCTTGATGCTTTTCTTAAATAAGCCAACACAGATATATTTTCTTGTTTTTTTGGGTGACCCAAATCTATTTTCTCGTTTTATAAACAAGCATACATTTTTTTTAAACTTTTACAAAATGTGCGATAGAAATGCTGTGTTTGTTGGAAGATATGGTTATATAATGGAAGTAAGTTGAAACTAGGATGTATCTTTCCGATGGCAGTTCAGATCCAATATATTTGTAGGTTTCCTTGAGCTTGCCCTATATTTTGGAGAATTGTAAACGCAAGACAATATTGCATTTGATTAAAAGAATGCTTGTTTTCCAAATTGTTTTTTATTTTAACTTGTAGTTGTTAGAGATTTTTCTGAGGTAAATGAAACAAGCTCTCTGAAAGTCATAGCCATTATTGCCATTTTTAAAATAACATCCAAAGTTTGTTACATTAAATGTTCGGTTGACCATAGTCATTCTTATGTCAATATTGGCCTACATCTCTATAACAAGTGAAACATGTCTGCCATGATTGACAATGTACAACATTCTATAAGGTTACTGTGTTTAAAGGAAACCCATTACTGAGTTTTGAAGTAAAACGTCATGTGTCTCGTGTACCTAAGAAGCTAGCCTTGCAGAGCTTGTGTGTTCCTGTATTGAACTCTCTCCCTCAATAGTATTGGATCTAGATATTAAGCAGACAATTCCTCGATTTTAATTCCAATTTAGTCTGTTAATCCAATTTCCTTTTCATAGTTTTAAATAAAGGAGAAATCCACTCTTTGCATGATTGTGGTGGTAGTTATTAGCTATTGGCTCCTGTAATGTGTTTTATTTCCACTCTGTATTATGGCTAGATGTTGAATTCTGCATGCAACATGAAAACGTCCAATTTTTTGCCTGATGTCGATAGAAAAAACAGCTTAATTGTTTGCATGTCCTTGAAATGTAAAATGAATTAAAAGCATTCTCTACTTTCATCATGTAAAATATATATACCTTTAACCAAGTTTTTATTTAATACCATAATTATTATCAGTGTTTTTGCAATTTCATTCATGACTAATTGTTATTTTCAGTACGTCTCAAGTGTCTGCATATATCTAATACTCTAGTCCAGTGTTATTGAGGGAAATATTGTGTTTTCCCAATGTGATTCCTACTTATATATAAGTATTTTATTAATAATGCCACATTATGCAATGATAAAAACTATTTTATTAGAACATTTGGGCCCGCAAATCATTGCATAGTGTATTCTGCCACAAGTCTTATGTATAATATATTAGAATGAGCTAACATTACAAATATGTATTTTGTTAATTTTATACATGAGACTTGTTGTACTGTATATATTACATTAATCTATTTGCCATTACCCATGTGATAATCACCTGTCATTGGCCGTCCTGACACAGGAATACTCCCACACCCGAAAAAAATTTATCAGAATATCTTTTTTAAGTAAGACAAGATCAGTTTGGAAAAGACACAGATCACTTGTTTCAATATATTTTGTCACGTACCTTTCTTCAAACTGAAACTTACTTGCTCGTCCAAAGCTTGAGTCCATGAAACTATCTTACTGGTTAAAAGTGTATTTTAAAAAACTAAAATTGATTGAAAATCATTCTAAGCAACACATTTTTGGCTGTATTTATGTAAATTGGTTGTGTATTTTGGGCACGATTTATTTTTATCAGAAATAATAATAAATTGAAATGGTTACATGCTTGTATAAATTAACAAATTGATGTTCGGAGCAATTACATTATTAATTTAAGTAGATGTGTGTGTGTGAGGATTCCTTGTCCACCTTCCAGTACCTGTACCTAATAATCTTTTGTCCACCAACGAGTGTCAATCATTTTGAACATTTCGGAAGAATCCTTTTGTCCAGGAAGAGTTGTCTCCCTTAAGTTTGTGAGATTCCTTACAAACACAGTGGAAACAGATTATTAAACATGTCATTCCAGAATAAACCTTAAAAGATTTGAAAAAGTAAAGCACTTGTTGGCTGGGCCGTGTTGATCACCTGTAGGCTTTTGTAATGCACTGCTTTTTGCCACTAGCTACGCAGGAGGAAAACTTGGTAAACATGGCCGCCAGACGGGTGTCCCTAGCGCCAGTCAATCGAGCTAATATCCAAAGTCGTAGCATGTCATGGAGAAATGGTAGCTTGCACTGGGGACGTCTTGGCTACGAAGGTACAACTCTACACATTGTTGTCCATCTAGACTTGGGAACAGCTCTCGTACATTCATTGGAAGCTTTTGTCTGTTAGGTGAAAGATGACAAATTAATTTAATGATCTAATTTTGTGTATTTTTTGGGTAGACTTTGCAGAAAATGACATGTATTTATAGAATATGTGCTGGGTAGAGCAGGGATGGGTATTGGAGGTTAAAAGTGTATCACAATATTTTGCAATACACAAGGCCGTATTGCGATACGTATCACGATATATTGTATAATTATAAATTTTGCATTCAGCAACAATTTGACATATTAAGGTATGAATTGAAGTTCATAAAACAAAACAAGATGCTGGTACAACATTATGTTTACACAATCAATAAATATGCAACCATCTTGCAGCCCCGAGTGCATGCTGCGGAGCAGTGAAGACATCTGGCAAGAAAATAACATCAAAAAATTGCTGTTTGACATCACCTGCTATATTGTACTTGAAAAGGTGATATTGTGATATGAAACGTGGAAAAACTAAACCTCAATATGCCGATATACCGATTATAATGCACACCCTTAGTAAAAAGTTGGAAACAGTGTTGTAAATTTTTAAAGTGATAGTTGATTTCTTTGGCTTGACACAGAATTAAGGTACATAATTTGTATAGTAGGACAAATTTATATGGAAATATAACAGCACAGTAAAATAATAACAGTACAATAAAAAATGAAACAATTGAAAGTCTTATAAAAATATTATTACTGCTTCCTGCTTATGGGGTTAATTTCAGGATTGCTTTTCAAGGTATCTAAGCAAGGGGAATAACCACTGTTGGTTGACACTAAGTGGAGATAACTCCTTGACACTAAGTGGAGATAACTCCTTCATGACAGTCATCTTTCACATTAACAAACTGTTCAGCTTACATTTGTGACTTCAACTGTTTCTAATGGGAAGACAATCTTCCAGTTCTCTTGTAGCATTACAATACCATGTCTTTTGCATCATACGGAGATGCTTGATTGTGTCTGCCTCGTCAGCGTGCACCTTTCTGACATGCCGCACGGTTTGCCCGACTCTTGCTGTATACTACCGCACTAACAACTATCTATCATCCTTGTATCCTCATCACTACTCCAACTTTAACAATCTGTTGTCAACAATATTATCTTATTTATTGCTGTATATTAATATTGCTTTTGAAAAATGTAATTATATATTCTGAAGAATTTCACTCTTTGCATCTATAATTCCTGTTTTTTCACTTATGATTCCTGATGCCAATCTACTTATTGTCTCAAAAGCTTAGTTTATAATTGTCTTTGTGGAGAATGTATAGTTTGAAGTGTTATATTTTATATCACTTTATCTTTAACTTGGAGTTGTACAAAATACAGATAACATGTTTATTCTTTTGGGAGTTAAATAACATGTTTATTCACATGGGAGTTAAATAACATGTTTATTCACTCGGGAGTTAAATAACATGTTTATTCACTTGGCACATAAATAGCTTGGGAAATCAATTTCATTTCCTCAGATTAAACAGCATTTCATCACCAAATGCATGATAAATGTGAGGTTTTAGTTGAAATATGTTTTGCGGAAATGCCATCGGCCATGATAAGAGTTAAGCAAGCCTGATGATGCACCTTGAAGCACTGTAATGTTGGCATAGCTCTGAATGATGCAGTCTGCAGTCTGCAGTCTGCCGTATGCTGGTAGGTGTGGGATATAAAAGATACTCAACGTCACATGACCGTTGCCATTGCATTTTCATCAGTATTAACTTGACTTTCCTTTCAGTCACAGCTCTTGCACCAAACATGTAGTAATCTTTATCCTCATAAATCACACTTTGTGCTCACTTCGTTTTCTAGCTTACAATCACTCAGTACTTTTTTCTATCTGAATATTTACCTGACATTGATGTATTCAGATGCAGAAGTTTGTATAAGGCAACTGTGTAAATCATTACGTTTTCATCAGATTAGTGTCAGTTCTACTTGATTACACAAAGGTGGATCCAGCATTTTTAAAAGAGAGGGTCCGATCCAGCATTTTTGAAAGGGAGGGGTCCGATCCAGCAATTTAAATAGGCAGGGGTCCAATCCAGCATTTTTAAAAGGGAGGGGTCCGATCCAGCATTTTTAATAGGCAGGGGTCCAATCCAGCATTTTTAAAAGGAGGGGTCCAATCCAGCATTTTTAAAAGGGAGGGGTCCAATCCAGCATTTTTAAAAGGGAGGGGTCCAATCCTGCAATTTTAATAGGGAGGGGTCCAATCCAGCATTTTTAAAAGGAGGGGTCCGATCCAGCAATTTTAATAGGCAGGGGTCCAATCCAGCATTTTTAAAAAGGAGGGGTCGGATCCAGCATTTTTAAAAGGCAGGGGTCCAATCCAGCATTTTTAAAAGGAGGGGTCCAATCCAGCATTTTTAAAAGGGAGGGGTCCAATCCAGCATTTATAAAAGGGAGGGGTCCAATCCAGCATTTTTAAAAAGGAGGGGTCCAATCCAGCATTTTTAAAAGGGAGGGGTCCAATCCAGCATTTTTAATAGGGAGGGGTCTGATCCAGCAATTTTAATAGGCAGGGGTCCAATCCAGCATTTTTAAAAAGGAGGGGTCCAATTCAGCATTTTTAATAGGGAGGGGTCTGATCCAGCAATTTTAATAGGCAGGGGTCCAAGCCAGCATTTTTAAAGGGAGGGGTCCAATTCAGCATTTTTAAAGGGAGGGGTCCAATCCAGCATTTTTAAAGGGAGGGGTCCAATACAGCATTTTTAGAGGGAGGAGTCCAATCCAGCATTTTCAAAAGGGAGGGGTCAAATACAGCATTTTCAAAAGGGAGGGGTCCAATCCAGCATTTTTAAAAAGGAGGGGTCCAATCCTGCATTTTTAAAAGGAGGGGTCCAATCCAGCATTTTTAAAAAGGAGGGGTCCAATCCTGCATTTTTAAAAGGGAGGGGTCCAATCCAGCATATTTAAAGGGAGGGGTCCAATCCAGCATATTTAAAGGGAGGGGTCCAATCCAGCATATTTAAAGGGAGGGGTCCGATCCAGCATATTTAAAGGGAGGGGTCTGATCCAGCAATTTTAATAGGCAGGGGTCCAATCCAGCATTTTTAAAAGGGAGGTGTCCAATCCAGCATATTTAAAGGGAGGGGTCCAATCCAGCATTTTTGAAGTGAGGAGCCCAATCCAGCATTTTTAAAAGTGAGGTGTCCAATACAGCATTTTCAAAAGGGAGGGGTCCAATACAGCATTTTCAAAAGGGAGGGGTCCAATCCAGCATTTTTAAAAGGGAGGGGTCCAATCCTGCATTTTGAAAAGGAGGGGTCCAATCCAGCATTTTTAAAAAGGAGGGGTCCAATCCTGCATTTTTAAAAGGGGCGTGTCCAATCCAGCAATTTTAATAGGCAGGGGTCCAATCCAGCTTTTTTAAAGGGAGGGGTCCAATTCAGCATTTTTAAAGGGAGGGGTCCAATCCAGCATTTTTAAAAGGGAGGGGTCCAATACAGCATTTTTAGAGGGAGGAGTCCAATCCAGCATTTTCAAAAGGGAGGGGTCCAATACAGCATTTTCAAAAGGGAGGGGTCCAATCCAGCATTTTTAAAAGCGAGGGGACCAATCCTTCATTTTTAAAAGGAGGGGTCCAATCCAGCATTTTTAAAAAGGAGGGGTCCAATCCTGCATTTTTAAAAGGGAGGGGTCCAATCCAGCATTTTTAATAGGGAGGGGTCTGATCCAGCAATTTTAAAGGGAGGGGTCTAATACAGCATTTTTAAAAGGGAGGGGTCCGATCCAGCAATTTTAAAAGGGAGGTGTCCAATCCAGCATATTTAAAGGGAGGGGTCCAATCCAGCATATTTAAAGGGAGGGGTCCAATCCAGCATATTTAAAGGGAGAGGTCCGATCCAGCATATTTAAAGGGAGGGGTCTGATCCAGCAATTTTAATAGGCAGGGGTCCAATCCAGCATTTTTAAAAGGGAGGGGTCCAATCCAGCATAGTTAAAGGGAGGGGTCCAATCCAGCATTTTTGAAGTGAGGAGCCCAATCCAGCATTTTTAAAAGTGAGGGGTCCAATTCAGCATTTTTAAAGGGAGGGGTCCAATCCAGCAATTTTAAAAGGGAGGGGTCCAAAATATCAAAAATCCTCTTTCAGTCAATTTTACAGCCTACAACATACTACATTTGGTTTTAAAAGCGGGGTGGGGTTGGGGGGGGGGGGGGGGGGGGGGGGGCGGGGTCCAAACCCCCTTGAGTCCCCCTCTGGATCCGCCTATGTTATTTCTTGGTAAATTAAAATATAGAATGTCATGGGAGTGAACAACTTTGGGTAATATATATTGCATCACATACTATTGCAATCTCATAACCCATTTTAGCTAACTCAAGCATGAGAGACAGGGGAGTTAATTTCTCCCTGCACTTCTGTAGGTCTATGTGCATAATGTTATGAATATTCAGTTATTTTGAATTATTTCGTTATTTATTCAATATTGGCCAGTGTGTCAAAATGTCTAAAAACAACCTTTAATTATGTGGTCAAGGCTGATTCAATTCAGTTACAAGAACAAATTCAAACTGTGTTTTGTAATATGAAAACAAGTTTTTTGATGATGTTTTCAAAATAACATCTGTAGCCAAGTTATAAAAAATATCTAGATTCATCAAATGCCATTGATGGCTTGAAGTGTGCACTGACCTCATGATGAAAATGCACTGATTTATACACAGGCCAAGAAGTATATTTATTAATTATCAACATTCTGTTAACAATGGTTAAGAAACAATGTAAGCTTGTCTTTGCAAGAAAAGTTCTGTAGATACCAATAAAAAAAATAAAATTAATATTGATAGTGTAGGATTTAGGTGCAAAAGGTCTTTTGTTTGTCCAGCAGTATGCATCAGTTAAAGAACACCCTGTGCTTCTGGTATTTTTGTCTGGATTTGGACAAAGCAAGGGCAGGTAACTCTAACCACAAACCAAGGTAACATGTATTTTTTGTCGGGTGCACTTATACAACACTTCTAAAGCCATTAAACATGACAAACAAAAGACTTTAAAGAAACAAAGATGTTCTTTTCAAATGTGATTACAAAGTATAGCAGGAGTTCCAGATGAAGGGGAGATAACTCACTGTGCCTCTCCACCCTCCCAGGTGAGGAAGACCGCATGGAACATCCTCATCACCTGCACATTGCACAGACATTCTTCCCATCATGCATCTGTGCTGCAGTACTTCCTATTCTGCACCTACTGGACGACCAGGATGTCAATGAAGATGGTATCTCAGGTACTCAAGTCTACCTTGGATTCTTCGGGCAAACTGATGTTTTTAATAGAATCGATGATGTTCACCAGGCAAATATATAATACATCTGTGAGAATCATGATAATGTATTAATTTGGTGAAATATTTTTCCTGAGAGTCGTGAAACTTATGGACACACTTTATGTTAATTAGTTTTGTGTGACATGTTTCAGTGATGTGTTCGTAGACAATGTGTGTGACATGTTTCAGTGGCGTGTTTGAAGACAATGTGTGTGACATGTTTCAGTGACGTGGTCGTAGACAATGTGTGTGACATGTTTCAGTGACGGAGGTGGCCAGCAAAGTGATCTGGGACTGTATAGTGGAGGATCCAGTGTTGTTCCTCCGACACTTCCTAGAGAAGCTCACTCACAAAGACAGACAGGTAGGGACAAAATCTGACTTTCAAATTTGTTAACTTTCATGCCACTACAGTAGTAATGCACTGGTATTCCTTGCATGATGTAACAGCTATTATAGGCATTACTTGGCCACAGGTTGTTTGTTGTTTAACGCCGCATTCAGCAATATTCCAGCCATATGACGGCGGTCTGTAAATAATCCAGTCTGGACTCGACAATCCAGTAATTGACATTATGAGCATCGATCCACGCAATTGGGATATGATGACATGCATCAACCAAGTCTGCAAGCCTGACCACCCGATTCCGTTAGTCGCCTTTTCCACGAAGCATAGTTGCCTTTTACAGGAAGTGTAAGCAAGGATTATATCCTACCTGAATATTATCCTGGGGGTAGTTTTACTCTAGAGTACCGTATAGGATAAGATTAAACACACTGGTATGGGTTCAAATTCATCCTCACACATCCACTGTTACTGCTTACTAAACCCCCAATCCTCCAGTCACTCAATCACCCACCCAACAATCACCCACCCAACAATCAAGCCACCCGATCAACCAGTCACACAATCACTTACCAAACAATCAAGCCACACAGACATTCAGTCACTCAATCACCCACCCGACAATCAAGCCACCCGATCAACCAGTCACTCAATCACATACTCAATAATCAAGCCACACAAACATTCAGTCACACAATTAACCACCCAACAATCAAGCCACACAAACATTTAGTCACACAATTAACCACCCAACAATCAAGCCACCCAATCAACCACCTACTCAATCATCCAGTCCAGCTTGGGATGTATACTCCCCAGGGAGCTGAGAATGATTGTTGAGTGCAAACTGCTACTGTGACTGGGGTAATAATAGCGCTTTGAGCATGCCTGTGTGGTGGGGAAATATGCTCACTAAATGGCATATTTTATTATTATTATCATTATGTCACTGTGTGGGAGCGTGTCTTATCTGTTCCTGTGTTCCTCCACTATTTGTTAACGTGTCTCATCTGTTCCTGTGTTCCTCCAATATTTGTGAACGTGTCTCATCTGTTCCTGTGTCCCTCCACTGTTTGTGAACGTGTCTCATCTGTTCCTGTGTTCCTCCACTGTTTGTGAACGTGTCTCATCTGTTCCTGTGTTCCTCCACTATTTGTGAACGTGTCTCATCTGTTCCTGTGTCCCTCCAATATTTGTGAACATGTCTCATCTGTTCCTGTGTTCCTCCACGGTTTGTGAACATGTCTCATCTGTTCCTGTGTTCCTCCACTGTTTGTGAACGTGTCTCATCTGTTCCTGTGTTCCTCCAATATTTGTGAACGTGTCTCATCTGTTCCTGTGTTCCTCCTCTATTTGTGAACATGTCTCATCTGTTCCTCCACTGTTTATGAACGCGTCTCATCTGTTCCTGTGTTCCTCCTCTATTTGTGAACATGTCTCATCTGTTCCTGTGTTCCTCCAATATTTGTGAACGTGTCTCATCTGTTCCTGTGTTCCTCCTCTATTTGTGAACATGTCTCATCTGTTCCTGTGTTCCTCCACGGTCTGTGAACGTGTCTCATCTGTTCCTGTGTTCCTCCACTGTTTGTGAACATGTCTCATCTGTTCCTGTGTTCCTCCACTATTTGTGAACATGTCTCATCTGTTCCTGTGTTCCTCCACTGTTTGTGAACGTGTCTCATCTGTTCCTGTGTTCCTCCACTGTTTGTGAACATGTCTCATCTGTTCCTGTGTTCCTCCACTATTTGTGAACATGTCTCATCTGTTCCTGTGTTCCTCCACTGTTTGTGAACGTGTCTCATCTGTTCCTGTGTCCCTCCACTGTTTGTGAACATGTCTCATCTGTTCCTGTGTTCCTCCACTTTTTGTGAAAGTGTCTCATCCCTTCCTGTGTAAGTGTCTCATCCCTTCCTGTGTAACTCCACTGTTTGTGAAAGCATCTCATCTGTTCCTGTGTTCCTCCACTATTTGTGAATGTGTCTCATCTGTTCCTGTGTTCCTCCAATATTTGTGAACGTGTCTCATCTGTTCCTGTGTCCCTCCACTATTTGTGAAAGCATCTCATCTGTTCCTCCACTATCTGTGAACATGTCTCATCTGTTCCTGTGTTCCTCCACGGTTTGTGAACGTGTCTCATCTGTTCCTGTGTTCCTCCACGGTTTGTGAACATGTCTCATCTGTTCCTGTGTTCCTCCACTGTTTGTGAACATGTCTCATCTGTTCCTGTGTTCCTCCACTGTTTCAGGAGGAGCTGATGTTCCTGCTGAGGAAGCTGGTGCTGTACATCCGCCAGCTGCCGGCCCAGACAGCCCACTCCCTCTTCAACTACCTGGTATGTGTCATATGTCTCAAGCCACATCAAGTCAATTCCAGACCTAATTTGAAAAAATGAGAATATTGAGGAAACTTTGTTTTATTGATTGACAACATCTTTTTCCTTTGCTCAAGAGAAGCATTGAGAAGAGTTTTTCTCTCTCTGAGTAACCAAATATGTTTATTAAAGCCTGTTTGATGGTTTTAAGGAATTGTAGAGCAAAATGCATACCAAGTTTATTATTTTTGGTGTTTGATATTAAGAATTTTAGCCAAATGGTCATTGCCATAATTCTGTTAAAAGTAAAGATTTAGGAAGTCATTAGAGATAGATAATGCTATATAAATTTCACATGAGCGAAAACAGAGAAAAATGTTTGACCCCATATCTCAAATGTTCTATGTGGTGTTATGTGTGATGTTCTATGGAAGGTCCACATGTCAGATCGGCTTCATGATGTTCTGTGTTATGTGGTTCTACATTTCAGTTCGGCCATGCAATGTTCTCTTTGGGTCTACATTTCAGATCGGCGACATAATGTTCTATGTGGTTCTACATGTCAGATCGGCTATGTGATGTTCTGTGTTATGTGGGTCTACATTTCAGATTGCCTACGTGATGTTCTATGTGATTCTACATTTCAGATCGGCTACGTGATGTTCTACGTGAGGTCTCCATGTGAGGGAGGACAAGAAGCCATTGCTGGTGCTCTCAGTCTGCTATGGATGGTAGGTTCTGCCTAGAAATAAGCCCACTGGGCAAACTGAAGGCTGTTCATGTTATGTATTGAATTAGCACCTTTGTACAGAAGAATTACGCATATATGCCAATACACCTACAGTTTCATTGTGGGAGGTTTCCTGATTGACACCGTGGGTGTTTAGGCTGATGCACCAGGTAAAGTATGGGTATAAGTATGATATACCCCACTCCGACATCTGCCCGACGCAAGCGAGTTAACTGACCATAAAAGTCCAGTTTCTACCCTTGCTAAACTTGGCTGGAATAATGGAGTTATATTTTGGCTGGACTAACGAGTCTTTGCAAAGTCCAATCAAAATCGCGTAACGAAATTAACATCCGTTTTGTAAACTGCCGTGAAGATTTTGGTCAGTTGAAGGATTTGCAAAGCATGTGAACTGTAAACTATGCGTCAACAGATATTTTCTATTTTTCTTCATGTTTTCAATCAAGGTGCTCACATGATATGATGCACTTCGCGTAATTTTATTGCAATATCGATCTTGATTATCGATCATATCGTCTTCTCTGGGCGCTGCCATTTTGTTTGAAGGAAATACAAGTGATATGAAATGTGGAATCTGATTGGTCAATAGGAGGGACATAGAAGGACATAACTCGTAATAGCCACTGGTGGCGCCATGATTGAGCCCAGAAATTCCAGCCTATTTTCGCAAGGGTGGAAACTGGACTTTTACAGTCAGTTAACTCCCTTGACTTGGGAGGATGAACTCCAAATGAGTAAACGTTATTAACCGTTTTATTTTAATAATAAGATACTTATCCATGACAGCTGACGAAAGTACATGTAGCTGAAAATGATAAACATTGTTTGAAACATGAATACTTTCCAAATGCTTCTTCCAACACTCAACCCCAGTGATCAAGTGTAACTGTCAGTGATTTAACAATCAGCAGGATGGAGTTCGTGTCACAGGCGAGAACATTTAGACACATACTCTTGTCCTTAAGTCCATGCATGTAATTGTAGAATTCACTTTCGTATATTCTAAGATTGTATCAATATACATTCAAATGAAAGTAACCATGACAACCAGACTGGGAATAGGGTATAATGTTAGGTTCTCCCTTACAGGTGACGCCGTGTGTGGAGGGCATCTACTTCAAGGATCTGAAGCAGACCCTGAAGAAGGAGCAATGTGATGTGAGTCCTGCAGGCGAACAAACACTTAACACCAGGATGAAACACTCTATTGTGTCCGGTGCATGGTCATTCAAAACACCCCAAGAGGCAGCGTAATTTGTCAGACAGTTAGTGATAATTCTGAAGGTTCGGTTAAGATTTGTACCATGAAAAATAAGTATATGTGACACTTTTTTGTGGATAACAACTTCTTTATTCTTTGTAACAATATCAGGGCTACTTCTTGCTCCTTCATCTGGAGATTGCTGTTGAAGGGGCAAGTAGTCCTGAAACTTTATTTCAAAGAATACAGAAGTTGTTATCCTCATGTTTTCATGTTCTTCTAGCTTCTAAATGCCTATCAAAAACTTCATGCCAAATATCATCATCATTTTAACATTCACAGTTGCCATATTGGTTTTGGCCTGGTAAGGCATTCCACTGTAGCCACTAGGTCCGCTTGCATCGACACAGGATAGACGTGAGACTGTATCTAGGTGACTGCTATATGTCGGTGTTGTTGCAGCCCTACCTGCTGGTGTCAGCGTATGTTGCCAGCGCCAAGAAGATCCTGGTTCATGGCCCCGACCTGTCCAGCATCCCCTCCCAGCTGCCGATACACGAGGTGAGACGTGTGTGTGGTGAGATGTTTGTGTGGTGAGACGTGTATGGTGAGATGTGTGTGGTGAGAGATGTGGGTTGAGAAAGGCTTGTGTGTGTGGTGAGATGTGTGTGGTGAGATGTGTGTGGTGAGAGATGTGGGTTGAGAAAGGCTTGTGTGTGTGGTGAGATGTGTGTGGTGAGATGTGTGTGGTGAGAGATGTGGGTTGAGAAAGGCTTGTGTGTGTGGTGAGATGTGTGTGGTGAGAGATGTGTGTGGTGAGATGTGTGTGGTGAGAGATGTGGGTTGAGAAAGGCTTGTGTGTGGTGAGATGTGTGTGGTGAGAGATGTGGGTTGAGAAAGGCTTGTGTGTGTGGTGAGATGTGTGTGTGGTGAGATGTGTGTGGTGAGATGTGTGTGTGGTGAGAGATGTGGGTTGAGAAAGGCTTGTGTGTGTGGTGAGATGTGTGTGGTGAGAGATGTGGGTTGAGAAAGGCTTGTGTGTGTGGTGAGATGTGTGTGGTGAGATGTGTGTGGTGAGATGTGTGTGGTGAGATGTGTGTGGTGAGAGATGTGGGTTGAGAAAGGCTTGTGTGTGTGGTGAGATGTGTGTGGTGAGAGATGTGTGTGGTGAGATGTGTGTGGTGAGAGATGTGGGTTGAGAAAGGCTTGTGTGTGGTGAGATGTGTGTGGTGAGAGATGTGGGTTGAGAAAGGCTTGTGTGTGTGGTGAGATGTGTGTGTGGTGAGATGTGTGTGTGGTGAGATGTGTGTGGTGAGAGATGTGGGTTGAGAAAGGCTTGTGGTCAGATGTGTGCCTGTAGTGACACCAACTTGTAGTGAGGCAGCATGTGAGGCGTGTTCTTGTGTGGTGAGATGTGATATTGTTTGTAGCTAAAAATTTGGATACATATCTGATCTAGTAGAGTAATATTAATAGTAGCACTGGCATCTGCAGACTTTTAACTGACTCACATTACACATCTTCCCGAGGCAAGAGAGTTAACTATAAATGTCCAGTTTCCACCCTTGCCGAACAAGGCTTTTTTGCATGGCTCGATCATACCGCCACCAGTGGCAATTATGAGTTATGCCCCTTCTCTATCCCTCCTATTGACCAATCAGAACCCACCTCTCATATCACTTCTCATTTGCTTCAAACAAAATGGTGGCATCCAGTCCAGACATTGTTATCGATTATCAAGATCTTTATTGTAATAAAATGGGTTTTACCTCGCAAAGTACTCAAGTCGTTTGAGCACCTTGATTAAAAACATGAAAAGAGTTACGGTCAGATAACTCCCTTGCCTCGGGAAGATGCAAGTTACAATGTTAAGTACTGATATTCTGTATCCAGTATTGTGTATGGAAGTGTTCTATGAATGTCCCCTCTGACTGTCCCATGTGTGTGGCCAGGACACCCAGTTCTCCCAGATCCTGTCGGAAGGCCTGGAGTTCTTCAACATCCCCGAGGACCAGGTGGACTCCCACTTCCTGGTGGACACCAAGACCTGTACGTACTCCCGGCCACCGGGGAACACACACTTTCATCCTCACTTAATGATATGTGCATTTATAATGCCCCAAGTTCCATTCACTAAGTGGATGCTCATAGCTACACTATTATTACCCCGATCAATGGATCAGTGTACACCAGTGTGATCAGTGTGCACTTGATTTACATTCTCAGCTCCCTAGGGAGTATACAACCAAAGCTGCCTGTGAGGTGCTAGAAGATTAAAAAAACATATAACCATCACATCCTCCTGCGTACCCATTCACTGCTGGGTGCATATGACAGTAATAAGGATGTGATGTATTACATGACACGATAGGTGTAATTTTTAGAAACTTACTCCATTATTGAAGGGAATTAAGAAACAGTCCAGCTGTTAATTGTAAAGTTGAGTTGACTCTTGAACATAGTTTTTGTGGTCAGGCCCAGTAACTTTGCTGGTTGCATGACATTTTACCCTGATAGTGATGTCAATCACTGGATTATCTGGTCAAAACTCTATTTTTACAGTCCATCATCATACAGCTGGAATATTGCTGAGTATGGCATTAAACAACAAGCAGCCAAACAAACATTCATGTTGTATTCACTGATCTCCTCCATCATTCAGACCAGATCCAGAATCTCAACTCCTACGTCCGAGACTTCTACTTCTTCCGACGGAACTTCTATCCTCAGCTGAGTCTCGTCCGCATGAACCCTGATGACGCCTTCCTAGCTCTGCAAAAAAGGGTAGGAGCAGTTTCTAGCAGTGTCCGTCATATCATCGGCTTGATGAATAAAACTGTGTATAGAATTCAGTAACGGGAACATAACATGGCTAAGATCACGCCAGAAACCTATGATTGTGGGTCAAGAAGTTTGTGTAGTGAATATAATTGTGTGTCCCCTCGCAATAATCTTCTCACTCTGCGTCCATTCCCTACATTTGTGCATACTGGACGAACATTTCTGTGTTGTGTAAAACTTGAAATGAGCTGAACCAGCCCGTAAGTGTTACTGAACACAGGTATTGTTAACCTCCTGTCTCATTACTCCGGAGATGTAGAGTTACCTATTGTCCTTCCTCCTCTCTTGCAGGTTTTCACTCTGAAGTTTGTGGACATCGGCAAGGTGCTGTTCACCACGGCAGTGCTTGGGAGCACCCCACAACACCAGGTAGGGAGGTACTCTTCATTAATGGAATAAGTAGTGGTAGGAAACTGTTTATTGAAGTGTCACACGCACTTGAACATATGAAATATACATGATATATACACATAAAATATGTGCGTTGTGCCACAAATTGGCCTATGAGACACGAAAATCAAATTATACAAAAAAAATAAATATGAAGTTTATAACAATTAGTTGTAATTGTTGAATGAATTGGAGTGTTTGAGTAAGAAACCTTGAATTAGAAACAGGGCATTTTCCACAGCATATGAATAATGTTCTTGATAAGGATCTTTGTTTATCTGTTTTCAACATTTTAAACCCCCATGGAATTTGGCTTTTGTGAAATTGATACCACATTAGTAAGATATTAAATGTGGTCCATATTTAGTAGAAGAACTATAATGTAGTAGTTTTTTGTCAGCGTATTGCTTGCCAGTTGGGCACAGTTGTCATGGAAACGAGAGGTCATCAAGTCAGAGCTCAAGATAACTTTTTGAGCAATTGAGTTTTTACTCTAGTGTTTCTATTTTAATTGGGTTATGACATTTTTCATTGGGTAACTAATATTTTTTCACTCATCTATTCATCAGTCAGTTGACTTTTTCGCAAAATTAGTGAACATTTTAAGATTTAAAAAAAGTTAATTCAATGCATGAGGTTCTGTACGCAAGTTGATTGAAAGTAATTGGGTTTTGAAACTATTTGGGGGGTATTTTACGCAAATACGCTGCTTATCTGTAGCTCTGTCCAGTGCATCATCATATCATTGCGACCAGTGAAAAAATATTTTCAGACCCGTGAAGATCCGGGGTAGAATAGGTCTTCAGCAACCCATGCTTGCCGTAAAACGCAACTATGCTTGTTGTAAGAGGCCACTAATGTAATCCTGTGGTCAGACTCACTAACTTGGTCAAGCATGTCATCAATCCCAATTGTGTGGACCGATGCTCATGATATCAATCACTGGATTGTCTGGTCCAGACTCGTTTATGTACAGACCACCGTCAAATAGCTGGAATATTGCTGAGTGCGGTGTTAAACAACCAACCAGCCAACCAATTGCATTCTGAGGTGATGGCACGGAATACTATGGAACATTACTGAAAACTTTAGTGTCAATAAACATTGTTTGTTTTCAGATTTGTGAGTTACTGTGTATTTGATGGATGGAAATGTAATAATTTGAAATCCTATTAGGTGGTGATGTGTTCTTATCCCAGATTTTGATTCTTGGTTGCCAGCGCCGTATCCATGGTGATGGTTTACCAAAGTTGTAAATTTCTCAGAAATTGTCCTGGATATAAGCTGAGATGCTTCGATATGAAAGATATGCATACTCTTTAAGGCTCCCTCACTTGTGTTTGTGTATAAGTTCTTCAAGTTTGGCATGAAGAAGACCCCTTTTTGTCTCCTAGATCCAGAACCATGTCTCATTCCTGCACGAGGAGTTCCTCAAACACCCAGCATTTCCACGGAAAGCCCTGGAAGCGGAATTTGACATGTACCATGGGCCCTGGGGAAAGGTATGTACGGTGGAAACGTCAACTTTTCACTCTTATGACAGTCTGGATTAGCCAGATTTTTGTTGATGAAAGAATGTCATAAGTTCAGGACAATAGTTTTGGTCCAATGTTGTCAGAGGTCTGGATAAGTCTGAGTCCTGGTTTGATAGATTCCACTGTATGGTAGGGCTGGTATTGGTAAACAGATTGTATTTCTATATATTGGGAGCTGAAGTGTTTGACGATGATTGTACCTGCAGATCCTATTTTCTACCTCATAAAGTAAGTTTTACAATGTCCTTGTCGACTGGTCAGTTGCCACCATTTTGTAGTGATGAATAAATGGGAGAAAACAACGTGAGAGAGAAATTGCTTCCATGTTTTTTCGGTTTTGTCTATCAGTTTCTAGGGAAACATCGTTTGTGAATGAATCTGTGTAGATTTTAGGTTAAACAATAAACATTTGGACAAAACTTGTTACATAATTTTTTACCCGATATGCAATATTTACAGGAATTAAAGAAGTTATCCATACATTGTACGACTTTGTGATACACAGGAACACGGAAAAAGTATTGCAATATGTGTTGTTTCTAAAGTGCAGTACTGGTATTACACTGCAGTCCTACTGAATAGATCGGGGATTTGTCCTGTAGTGACAGTAGAACAAGTTATGATATTGTTGTAGGTTGAGCATTTGTTGATGTTCTGTCATGTTGTGTGTGTATTTACAGGAACTGTACGGGATGGACACACTACACAAGTACACTTGGACAAAGGTGAATAGATGTGTTGTGTCTCACTTTGGTACAGAGTGACAAAGGTTCAGAAATGCATGTGGTGGAAGTCATTAATGCATAGATTAGCTCATCATTTAGCTCATTTGGCATGTATTAGGTACAGAAAAAATATGATAATAGTGAGTATGGCTTTACGCCGCTTTAAGCAATATTCCAGCAATATCATGGCGGGGGACACCAAAAATGGGCTTCACACATTGTGCCCATGTGGGGAATTGAACCTGGGCCCTCCCCTTGACAACCCAAAGCTTTATCCACTAGGCTACCCCACTGCCCCTAATAATAATAACAATAACAGCGTGTGTGCTGGGGATATGGTGGTCCCATCTTGTTTGGTGCTACAGTTGACTGTGCTCTTGCAATAGGTTAATTTGGATGTTCCATATTGAGCACATAATCTGAGTCACTACTTTCTTTCTCAAAATATCACAGTATTGCCGGATTGAATTCAAATTTAATTGCCATTGGCTGATTCTGTATCAAGCAGTGAGTGCTCATCTATCTACGAGTTCAAAATATCACAGTATTGCCGGATTGAATTCAAATTTAACTGCTATTGGCTGATTCTGTATCAAGCAGTGAGTGCTCATCTATCTACGATTTCTGCAGCTTATGACGAAAATGTTCGACTCCATGTCGCCTACGTTTGCCTGGTCCAATGATATGCTACTGTTCCTCAACGTCATCAATGGCACCATCGTGCTGCTGTTTGAAGACACGGCCATCCTGCGCTACTGTCTGGCCTCCCTCATCAACACCTCCAGGCACTTCAAACACATCTTCTCCACCAACGGGTAGGTTATACATCTTACATTGGAAGAGTCAATGTTTCAGTACATCTGAGGGGTGTCACGATGTGCCTGACTCATGATATGTAGAGCAATACGTTTCACGCATGATGTATGGTACATATCACCATACACAGTGTGTACTATTTTTGTATGACTTTTTCATGCAACCCGGATGACGGAATCAATTAATAACCGTGAAGATCCAGGTTAGAATAGGTCTTCAGCAACCCATGTTTGCCGTAAAAGTCGACTGCTTGTTGTAAAAGGCGACTAACGGGATTGGCAGGTCAGGCTCGCTGACTTGGTTGATGCTTGTCATTGTGTCCCAAATGCATGGATCGATGCTCATGATGTCAATCACTGGATTGTGTGGTCCAGATTTGATTATTTACAGACCGCCATCATATAGCTTGAATATTGCTGAGTGCGGCGTTAAACAACAAACAAACAAATGAATCAATTACACCAGAGTCATGTCGTGTTGTGTGTTTCAGGTTTCTCTACATTATGCCGACTCTACTGCGAGTGTACAGCAACAACCAGCCCAACCTGGTGCTGAAGAAAGCCATCCACTTTGTGTGCCGCCAGTTCTACATCCTCCACAGAAAACCCTTCATACTGCAGATGTTTGGCAGTGTGGCCCCGATACTGGATATGACCTGTGCTGCTGGAGGCATTATTGACTGTAGCAAGGTGAGCACACATGGGTTCATCTTGATGGGGTCATCATTGATTGCAGCAAAGTCAATACACATCGGTAGCAACATATTTTTTTTTAATATTGCTGAGTGAGGTGTCAATCAAGAAACAAAACAAACCAATGAACCCTACAATGTATACTCACCAACCAAAGAAACGCGAATACCATACATGTTGGTTAATATATGAAGAATTACTAATATTCAAGAGATATGAGATTGGCTTTATGCACAAACGAACATACTGGTATGTTGAGTGAATGGACGCTCATGAACTCATCACATGTGACGTCATAGATCCATGCCTCAAGATGCACCATTTGTCTCGTGCGGGATTAGCGTGTAAAGTTTGGAAATCACGTGCAGCATATCATGATAAGAATAAAGACACTTTGTGGTAACACTTGACTGATTGTTAGTTTTGTCATTAAGTGGTACACATTGGAAACATCTCTTCTTAACGTACATACTCCTGTATATGTTTGTATGGTTCACGTTTCTGCCACAGGTCCAGCCCAGTTCCTTGTTCAAGCTGCTCCTGGCTCTGGAGAAAGACGGCCCCGACACGCTGGGCACGCTGGACCTTGTCCGAGGAGAGAAGCCGCTCAAGGCTCTGGTAGGACACGGAAGTCAACTGACAGTTATAGCATGAAACAAGTGTCATAGTGAATACTGCTTTTGTGTAAAACTGTTAACATGGAAGTTGTATCATCGATCTCAATTGCGTGGATCGATGTTCATGATGTCAATCACTGGATTGTCTGGCCCAGACTCGATTATTTACAGACCGCTGTCATATAGGCCTAGCTGGAATACTGCTGAGTGTGGCGTTAAACAAGAAACAAACAAACAAACGGAAGTTGTAGGTGTTAAATTTCTGGGTATATTTGAATGTTATACCAATTATCTGTTAGTTTTTACCCCAAGAGAAATACTTACAAATACTCTGTGGGAAGTGTATGTTTAAATTGTTCTGTAGATTTTTTTAAAGGGCAAGATTTCCAATTTTCAAACAACGAATTATTTAAAAAATGATCTAGGTGTTGGCCAAGATAAACTGACATGGATTCTTAACACATATTTAAAGTTTTGTAATGCTTGGCAAACTGACCACAAGAATCAATTCAGTTGTTCTGTGTTTGTGTTTAAATCTTTTTGATGTGTTTCGAGATGGACTTGAGCACAAAAAACACATCCTGAAAACATGATTATACAGTCTTATTTTGTGTCAGTGTAGTTATGTGCAGACGTTTGATCTGTGTAGTCACCTTCACTGAAGCACATCAATGAGAAAATGTGGTTATTTCAGAAAAACAAACTTTCAAAAAATTAAAGTTTTCTCTTGGGATGCCTGTATGTGTAACAAGTATGGGTTATATAATATGAATCATATTTTGAAGGATTTCTGATCCTTTTCTAGATTTGTCTCGTCTTTGTAGGATTTCTGCTACGAGAACGACTCCGACACCTTCAACATGCTGGATGTGATCAACATGTGCATCACTGTGATCGCCTACTCCCCGGACTCCTTCCGCAGCGGTCAGATGCTGGTGAGATGTCTCGGTCATGTAGTCACGCAGTTGGGACTCGGGTATTGTAGGGATTAGGACAGGGGTAAATCAGGGTTTGCCTGGGACAGAGCAGGGGTCAGTGGGTCCATGGGTCCTAAAGGCTTTACACTTGAAGTAGACTACTTCCAGATGTGCAGAGATGTTAACTGACTGTGTAATGTTAAATGGCAGTGTTATGTTAAATGACAGTGTAATGTTAACTGACTTATGTTAACTGACAGTGTTATGTTTACTGACTTATGTTAACTGACTTATGTTAACTGACAGTGTTATGTTTACTGACTTATGTCAACTGACTTATGTCAACTGACTTATGTTGGCTGACATTGTGATGTTAACTGACTAAATGTTATCTGACTGTTGACTGACTAATGTTAACTGACTAATGTTAACTGACTAAATGTTAACTTCAACTAAATGTTATCTGACTGTTAACTGACTAATGTTAACTGACTAATGTTGATTAAGTGGTATTAACTGACGAAAATGTTAATTGTCAGTTTTCTGTGAACTGTGTGGTGTTAACTGACATTGTGATGTCAACTATGTGATGTTAACTGGCTGTTCTGTTTGCAGACTGTGCTGGAGGTGTTGGTGCCCCGGTACCTGCAACATCTGAAGAGAGAGACAACTCAGAGAGACAACCCCAGCGCCGCCCGTGCCGAGATCTCTCTCATCTCCAGCATCGCATCCTCGCTCCGATCCCTCATCAGCTGCTGTGAATACTTCACCAGGTACACTCTCTCTGTAGAGAGACAGGACTTGAAAATAGCTTACCGTATTCGATGTAATAAGCGCCCCACTCTAATAAGCGCCCACGGCGATATTTGCTGATAATTTGCATCCCTTCCGATTGATCAATGTACACAAGACTTATTTATTCGGTATAATACGCACACGTGTGTTATATGCACCCTTATTTATGGGCAATTCAAATCTGGAAAAATATATGTCGTACATAAACATTTCAGGCTGTCAGCATAAACAACAAAATTCATCTTTCAACTATGTTTTTTTCACCAAAATAATATTCTAATAAGAGCCCCCTATTTCTAATTTTGAGAGCGCCCTGGGCGCTTATTACGTCCAATACGGTTATTACTGTATCCTGTATTTTAGCTGTCATCACACAATAAAAAATCTTCAGATTTTCGACAGAAGTCCTCTTCACTGTCAACTATCCATAATTAGTAGTGAAAGTAATAGTATCTTGTTGCCCAGTACTCATGCACGTGCCCAAGGCAGGAATCCCCTCATCGTTCCAATCATCAGCTAACCAGATGCAGATTATTGGGGAGGTGGGTGGGATTACTCCTGATGTTATTGTCCCCCGCCGCGCGAAAGCGTGAAGCGGGGGATATAGTATTCACGACCGTCCGTCCGTACGTCCGTACGTCCGTCCGTATGTCCCACCTGTTTGTTGCCGCGATATCTCAAGAACTAAACACTGGATTGTCTTCATATTTGGAACTATGGTGTATATACAAATTCCTCAGACACCAGTGGGTTTTGGTGACCTTGACCCCATTTTCAAGGTCACAGCAGGCAAATCTGCTTTTGGAGTTGAAAAACGGTGTTGCCGTGATATCTCAAGAACTAATCGCTGGATTGTCTTCATATTTGGAACTATGGTGTATATACAGACTCCGCAGACACCAGTCGGTTTTGGTGACCTTGATCCCATTTTCAAGGTCACAGCAGGAAAATCTGCTTTTGGAGTTGGAAAACGGTGTTGCCGCGATATCTCAAGAACTAAACACTGGATTGTCTTCATATTTGGAACTATGGTGTATATACAGACACCGCAGACACCAGTCGGTTTTGGTGACCTTGACACCATTTTCAAGGTAACAGCAGGCAAATCTGCTTTTGGAGTTGGAAAACGGTGTTGCAGCGATATCTCAAGAACTAAACACTGGATTGTTTTCATATTTGGAACTATGGTGTATATACAGACTCCGCAGACACCAGTTGGTTTTGGTGACCTTGACCCCATTTTCAAGGTCACAGCAGGCAAATCTGCTTTTTGAGTTGGAAAACGGTGTTGCCGCGATATCTCAAGAACTAATCGCTGGATTGTCTTCATATTTGGTACTATGGTGTATATACAGGCGGGGGACATTTCGTCACTTTGTGACAAATACTTGTTTAATATAGTATTTGGTTATTAAGGAAGAGAATTTATGGATGTCAACTTCTGTATAATGAGGAACACAATGTTTCGGTGTATATGCTTACTCCTTCATGAGGTGAAGTTCTCATTGCTCAGGTGTGTCCCTTATTATAAAGAAGTTGACATCCATAAATTCTCTTCCTTATGTGTATCATTTCTGAATGCCTTTCAAAGATGTTATAAATATTGTTTGTTATACCCTGTTTTGAAACCGTTGAGAATTTCTGGATGAAACTTGCTACACAGATCAGTCTGGTGGTGAACTGGTGCCTTTTGATGAGTTTTGAGGTGTTCTTTTTGTTAAAATATATTTAGGTTTCATGACGTCAAGTTGGACTTATACTGAAAATGAGGGTAGTGCTCATTTCCAGAGTTCAACTCTAAAACCCTTGAATATTTCTAGAAGAAACTTGCTATACTGATCAGTCTAATGGTGAATTGGTGCCTTTTGATGATTTGGGATTTTGAAAAAACTAAGCATTATTTTTTTCCTCTCTGAACTGGAGGTATCCAATAGCAGTGAACCAAATGTGGGGTATAAGTAGCCAAACCCCATTTCCAAATTGCACCAGAATGATTTCTCCAAAGCCCAAATAGCGTTGGCACCTCTGCTACTATCATCGTGTTTGTTTTGTCAGGAACATGAGCATCCCCCAGCGCTACGTGGAGGCGGTTAACACCAGCAAGCCCGTACAGAATCACAGCGTCCACTCCCTCACGATGGACGACAGGGAGGACTCCCATGCCAGGTAGTTAATGAATCTCAGACTTTCTCAGCTGCTGCGTTCAGCCTCCCTGTCTGATGAGTTAGGGACCCGTCATATATCAACAGGCTTGACGGACATCTAGTCTTCATCCACAACAACACACAAATGTCTCACATTTTCATTCTCTACTTTTCATGACCCTCCCTAGTTGCCATGGTAGTTTGTTATCGTGACAGTAAAAAGATATTATTGTTTATTATTTTTTACCATAAAACAATTGTCCATTTATCTAGGATTCCAAACTATAGTCTGGAAGGTAATTTAAGGTATTCATGCATTGATTGTCTTTAAATGTAATATCCAGTTATGCATGACTGTTTAATAATCTCATACCAACTTTGACTGGAGTAGGTCCGATAGTTTTCAGATATTGTAGTAAACGTCTGTACCTTAAATTACCTTCCAGACTATAATTGCCTTTGGAAGGCAAATTGGGATCAAATGAAACACTGGAATATTTTTTAAGTTCTTCTTTTCTTGAATTCAAATTTATTTGATTATTATATTCAATGCAATAAAAATATGCATTGAGACCTTTTCCTCTATATTGGTCCTGTTATCAGTGATACAGCTGTCACCTCCACAAAGCCACAACATTAATTTTTATTTCAATTTGGGAATTTTTAATGACATTTGCTGCAGCGATGGCAGGCGACAAACCCCCCCCCCCCAAAGTAATATATTTAAGAAATAAGGTATGTCTAGACATCATCTGCCTTCCTGTTAGATGTTCATTGGGCCCTGAGTTGTTATAATTAGACTATGAGGGCTGACCTTGGCACTGGTCTTGAAGAATTATGCTAGACTTAAATAATTTATGTGTCCCTTGACGGACATTGTTTCAAATGTATCAATACTGACCCTGTGGATGCTGCAGAGCCTGTGGAATTATTCATGTTATTACTTTGGCCTCTCCGTATTCCTACCTGAATATGTTCCTTATTATTAGGGATTTCCTCTTAGTGTCAATGTGAGTGACTGAGACAAAGTGTATATGTATTGTTTAGATATTAACCAAAGAAATCAAATTACTATTGATAATGTAAGCTTCTTTGTCCTAAAGGTAAATGGTTTTGATCTGTTGTCTGCAGCCGTTACATGGAGGAAGGTCGCAGAAAGGCCTTCACCCCTGACCCTGAAGACCTTGAACTTCGCACTGAGTTCAGGAAGCCGCGGGATTCCATTCTGTCCATTCTCGCGGAGTTCTACACAACAAGCGTCAGTCGACTGCGGGAACTGAGGAAGATCCTGGCCGACCCTAACTTCAGAACCCCCGACCTGCTGGACCACAAGACACACAATGTATGCACAGAAAGTCTTATTTCTTGATTAATGCCTCTCTGTAAGTCCCCTGTTTCCAGACCCAACTGGACTCTGTATGGAGATTCCTGGTCAAGATAAGCACCCCATGCTTGTCTCTCTGTGGAGATTCCGGGTCCGAAATAAGCACCCTATGCTTGTCTCTCTCTGGAGATTCCGGGTCCGAATAAGCACCCCATGCTTGTCTCTCTGTGGAGATTCCGGGACAGAATAAGCACCCCATGCTTGTCTCTCTCTGGAGATTCCGGGTCCGAATAAGCACCCCATGGTTGTCTCTCTGTGGAGATTCCGGGTCCGAATAAGCACCCTATGCTTGTCTCTCTCTGGAGATTCCGGGTCCGAATAAGCACCCTATGCTTGTCTCTCTGTGGAGATTCCGGGTCCGAATAAGCACCCCATGCTTGTCTCTCTCTGGAGATTCCGGGTCCGAATAAGCACCCCATGGTTGTCTCTCTGTGGAGATTCCGGGTCCGAATAAGCACCCCATGCTTGTCTCTCTCTGGAGATTCCAGGTCAGAATAAGCACCCTATGCTTGTCTCTCTGTGGAGATTCCGGGTCAGAATAAGCACCCCCATGGTTGTCTCTGTGTGGAGATTCCGGGTCCGAATAAGCACCCTATGCTTGTCTCTCTGTGGAGATTCTGGGTCCGAATAAGCACCCCATGCTTGTCTCTCTGTGGAGATTCCGGGTCCGAATAAACACCCCCATGGTTGTCTCTCTGTGGAGATTCCGGGTCCGAATAAGCACCCTATGCTTGTCTCTCTGTGGAGATTCTGGGTCCGAATAAGCACCCCATGCTTGTCTCTCTGTGGAGATTCCGGGTCCGAATAAGCACCCCGTGGTTGTCTCTGTGTGGAGATTCCGGGTCAGAATAAGCACCTCATGCTTGTCTCTCTCTTGAGATTCCGGGTCCGAATAAGCACCCTATGCTTGTCTCTCTGTGGAGATTCCGGGTCAGAATAAGCACCCCATGCTTGTCTCTCTGGAGATTCCGGGTCGAAATAAGCACCCCATGGTTGTCTCTGTGTGGAGATTCCGGGTCCGAATAAGCACCCCATGCTTGTCTCTGTGTGGAGATTCCGGGTCCGAATAAGCACCCCATGCTTGTCTCTCTGTGGAGATTCCGGGTCCGAATAAGCACCCTATGCTTGTCTCTCTGTGGAGATTCCGGGTCAGAATAAGCACCCCATGGTTGTCTCTCTCTGGAGATTCCGGGTCCGAATAAGCACCCTATGCTTGTCTCTCTGTGGAGATTCCGGGTCAGAATAAGCACCCCATGGTTGTCTCTCTCTGGAGATTCCGGGTCCGAATAAGCACCCTATGCTTGTCACTCTGTGGAGATTCCGGGTCCGAATAAGCACCCCATGCTTGTCTCTCTCTGGAGATTCCGGGTCCGAATAAGCACCCCATGCTTGTCTCTCTCTGGAGATTCCGGGTCAGAATAAGCACCCCATGCTTGTCTCTCTGTGGAGATTCCGGGTCCAAATAAACACCCTATGCTTGTCTCTCTGTGGAGATTCCGGGTCAGAATAAGCACCCCGTGGTTGTCTCTCTGTGGAGATTCCGGGCCCGAATAAGCACCCCATGCTTGTCTCTCTCTGGAGATTCCGGGTCCGAATAAGCACCCTATGGTTGTCTCTCTGTGGAGATTCCAGGCCAGGATAAGCACCCCATGCTTGTCTCTCTGTTGAGATTCGGGTTCAGAATAAGCACCCCATGCTTGTCTCTCTGTGGAGATTCCAGGTCAGAATAAGCAGCCCATGGTTGTCTCTCTGTGGAGATTCCCAAATTGTTAGTTGAACAGACTGAAGTGAACTTAAATAGTACTGGCATAACGCTTATGTTAAACATGATGTTTTGTATTTCGATAAAGAACAGTTCTGACAGCTATGAGGCAATTAAAGGTCTCAGGATAAGGATAGGGAGGCAGATTGCCATGTGTTTGGTATCCCAACCATGGAGTTTTTGAGGTGATGGGTTAGAAGCATTCCTTGGCACTAACTGTGAGTTTGCTGAATAAGAACTGCATAAGATGCTACTCACTGATGGGGACATTTATTAGGGTTGTACATTTATTATATTGTAGACGGTAGTTAAGTGTACATTACCTGTATGAGTTTGTTGTGTTGTGTCCATCCAGAGGCTGGCTGAAATCGCCCACACGTTGCTGAAGCTGGCCCCGTACGACCCTCTCACCATGAGATGTACCGGCCTACAGAGGTGGGTACCCAATCAAACTCTCTGTCAGGCCACAATAAATTAAGTATTCGATTTACATTCAGAATTTAAAAAAAATTGATTTGGGCATTTCTGTTTTGTGTTTCAATTATTTTGGTCAAGTTTGGCATGATTATTGATTAATGTGAAGTTATCAATATGTACTGCCTGTGAGTAGAACTAAATGAACAGAAGAGGATTCATTGGCAGGGTTAGAAACTAACAGTTTTTGTCCACTAGTCCTTATAATGATAGCATATAGCAAAACCCTAAAAATGGGCCAAGTTCTACTAGTCCTTAGGATACCTTTACTATTGGGCAGTTTGGTAAGGACTACAGGACTAGTGCCAATTTTTCTAATGCTGATTGGTCGTCTGGGCGATGGAGTAGCCGAGTGGTTAAGCTTTCGCTCATCATGCTGAAGACCCACGATTATCCACAATGTGTACAATGTGTGAAGTCCAATTCTAGTGTCCCCTGCCGTGATGTTACTGGAAAATTTCTGGTGTAAAACCATACTCACTATCTCACTCACTCATTTGCTGTGTTGTCCAGGGAACTAGCAGGCAAAGAAACTGCAAATTGCTGTGTAGATTTGTCTCCCTTAGATCCACCTGGATCCACTGATCGACAATCTTGGTACTTTCAGCTTCTAATGTTTTAAATGTAGCTGAAATGCTTTTCAAGGTTAATCAGCCAGTTCATTCACATAGACATTGTACTTGGAAACCCTGAAGGGATTCCGGGCTAGAATTGATCCCCAGCAACCTATGCTGGTTGTAAGATCTTTGACTTGGTGGTCAGTCTTGGGGCGTGGTTGATTTCGTGTCATTGTACCCTGACGATGTGGATAGTTGCTCATTATATCAATCACTGTATTGTCTGGTCCTTACTCAATTATGTACATGCCACTGTAATATAGCTAGAATACTGTGGCATTAAACAACAGACAAAGAAAGTAGCAAAAAGCATTCATAGTGTCCCTGCCATGGCATTGAATGAATGCAACATGCTTTGAGTGAGTGAGTGAGTTGGGTTTAATGCCATTTTTAACAGTATTCCAGTTATATCGCGGCGTGTCAGCATAATGTGGGAGGAAAGCCCGAAGTGATGCAGGTCTCAGACGTTTACCACTTCGGTGAAACCCACGAGCACGGGTATGGTGCTGACAAACCTAGAAACATAATCGGGGCGAACCGGGATTCGAACCCACAATCATAGGTTTCTGGCGTGCCCAAGGGACGCAACTCTGCACAGCGAATTGCGGCACCTTAGACGACTGGGCCACCCCTGTCCCCCAACATGCTTTGAATCGATAGTGACACGTCCTCTGCCTGACAGGTACATGGCCGAGATCCTGCCTTCCACGGACTGGTCCCAGGAGCTGATCCGCCCCGCCCTTAACCTCATCCTCCGTAGGCTGGACAGGCTGTTCACCAAACTCTCCAAGAAACCTGCACTCAGGGTAGGATATAGTCATCATTTCCTCGGGACTGTAGAGCATCCGTAGTATTAATATATAACAGACATATATTACAAATTATATTTTAAGAAACAACATTGCCAGTTGTTTAGTCTACTTCTGGACCTCGTTACAGGCAATTGTTATATTTCCAACCAATTAATAATCAAATTATCACTTATTTTTAAGTTTTACAAATTTTGAGGATTTGTGGCAATGAAAAGTAAGATGATATATTTTCATCAAGATTCTGTTTCCAGAGACAGACAGACTGGGAAGCTGCGGCGAATATTCTGAAAGGTAATGATGTACTGAGTGTCTGTGAATGCTGTTCACGTAACTGGAATTTCTACTGAAAATGCCTACTTTCGTAGATTCTTACACCGTTATCAAGCTAAAGTCATCCTTAAAGTTGTACATTTTCTTTTTTACTCACTAACTTCTAGAATGCCAATCAAACAGAGAGTATTTACTTATTAGGAGTTATTTAGATGTTCATCTGATGTGAACCACAAGGTCAAGGTTAGTCCTGCACCATGACCGTGGAATATATTTATTTTATGAAAAAAACATAATCTAGAAATGCTACAAAAGCATGTCTAGCCAGCTCAAGCTAGCTCTATTCCTCTGAAATCAGCATAGGGAATTTTTTAATTTTTTTCAGAGTCAAGAAGGATATTGTGTAATATAAGATTTCAGAGACTAAATGTTAGTCTAGGTCAAGGTTAGCAACTATGAAACTTCACCACTCAATTTTTGTGTCACTTAGTGAAGGTGAGCTTCTGTACCTCTTGTACTCAAGTTTGTTTGGTTGAAATATAGACACACAATATGATGTGTGGCGATGCTTTGTTGATATACCATGAAGGATTAAAACTGTGTCTGTGCAGACTTGTGGCACTCCAGCTGATCTGTCTGTATCTCTGTCTGTCTGTCTGTAGGTGTGTACTTGACGCTGAGGAAGTTCCTGTACATCGCCCACCTGCCACACCTCAAGGTGAGTGAGCCATGTCCACCTTCATCTCACTGTTGATCCCGCGCGGCAGAATCCATTATATTCTAGGGGTAATGGGAATAGATCAGCACATTGGGAACATGTATCTAGTCGAGCCCTAGTATCGCAGCAACCAAAATGCAGGCATTGAATATGGTTTGCTATATTGTGATAATGTTTAGCCATTCTAAGAGTGATAACCACATTATGATCAGAAGCAGCTTGAGTCTATCATTGGGTCACATGTCAACTAGGATCTCCATGCACAGTCCAACCAACTCAGTGTTCATCAGGAAACTTGACCATGGCACTTGTTGCGGGTTTAGAACTCGACTCTCGCACAGGTTAAAACACTTCTGTGGTTAACAGAAGGTTCTTGCGTTCCATCAGACCAAGGAAAATTGCCAAATTGTTTCGTGTTAGTCTCCAGCTAAGAAAGCCCTGTTGACCCTTTGTTGACCCTTTGTTGATACTTGAGATGAGGTGAAAAAGGGGTTTTGAGTCATGTGCAAGATTATGTCACTTACGTAGCGACGTGCATGCACGTGTGTGTGTGTGCCTGCTTGTACTAGTCCGGACTAATGCCGATTTTTCTAGTGCTAGCCCACTGAGATACCATGCTGCAGTTTAACATAAATACCCCACTCAGACTCAGAGTTAACCAGGCCTTGTTCTAGCCCTGTAATGCTGAATGCCAGGCAGGGTAACAGCGAGTACTATTTTTTAACGTCTTTTGGTACAACGCTTTTGGCGGCCGCTCTACCACTAGACCACGTAGGCAGTCCTGTTGACACTATGTACATGGGGTAAAGATGATAGAGCAAAAGACTGTTGACAATACTGAAATGAACTTTGGTTTCTTTATGCTCATAAGTAATGTTTGAATTATGGAGTTGCCTCCCCTGAAAACTGATCACAGGGGACCCGTTCCAAACTGCAGTCTTAGCACAAAGACACTCATAAGTTTAAGAGTATGGGAGTTATGGGGTTTGATTTCCCAACATGGGTTCGTCATTTCTGCAGTTCCCTGTCATGATAGACTTTGAATATTGCTTAAGTCAGCGCAACATGCACTCCCTTATCCTAATGTATGAACTGACATGAATGTCGACACTTTGATCCCCGCAGACCCTGGTGAGTGTCCTGATCAGCATCCTGCTGTCTGGGTCCAGCTCCTTCTCCAGCATGTCGGACAACTTCCCCAGCCAGCACGGCAGCCATCGCAGTGAGCACAGCACCAGCCACATCGAGATCCCTGCCTTATTCTGCTCCTCCGTCGTCAAGCTGGTTGCTATGCAGATGCAAGCTCTGGGAGTAAGTAGCTATGATGAATATGAAAAGATCTGTGATGAATGTGGGTTTGTTCATTTGTTTTGTATTCCTGCTTTAATCTCACACAGCTCTGTATTCCTGCTTTAATCTCACACAGCTCTGTATTCCTGCTTCAATCTCACACAGCTCTGTATTTCTGCTTCAATCTCACACAGCTCTGTATTTCGGGTTCAATCTCACACAGCTCTGTATTTCTGCTTCAATCTCACACAGCTCTGTATTTCTGCTTCAATCCGACACAGCTCTGTATTCCTGCTTTAATCTGACACAGCTCTGTATTCCTGCTTTAATCTCACACAGCTCTGTATTCCTGCTTTAATCTCACACAGCTCTGTATTCCTGCTTTAATCTCACACAGCTCTGTATTCCAGATTCAATCTCACACAGCTCTGTATTTCGGGTTCAATCTCACACAGCTCTGTATTTCGGCTTCAATCTCACACAGCTCTGTATTTCGGCTTCAATCTCACACAGCTCTGTATGCCTGCTTCAATCTCACACAGCTCTGTATTTCGGCTTCAATCTCACACAGCTCTGTATTTCTGCTTCAATCTCACACAGCTCTGTATGCCTGCTTCAATCTCACACAGCTCTGTATTTCTGCTTCAGTCTCACACAGCTCTGTATTCCAGATTCAATCTCACACAGCTCTGTATTTCTGCTTCAATCTCACACATCACTGTATTTCGGCTTCAATCTCACACAGCTCTGTATTCCTGCTTCAATCTCACACAGCTCTGTTTTTTTACTTGTACAGGAACAGTGGACCCTGGAGCAGATCTGCGGTGGACCATCATCGTTCCAGACAACAGACAAGACACTCAACATGCTGGTCAACTTCATCTTGCCACTCTGCATCCGAGTTGGGTGTGGTCGGAGAGGTGAGTCAGGCTAAAGATAATAATACCCTGAGGAGAAATACTTCTCATAATTTCTCAATAGGCCACCGCAAAGTGTTTATTTGTTCAACATCACAACCATTTACTCTCGTAATCTTATATATAAAAGGGATTTATGTAGGCACATTTTTCTGATTACAAAGTTTTGATTGACTGTGCTAGCTACTCAAGTACTCAGGCTAAGTTTGGGAAAACAGGTTAGATCCTGATGAGAATCTGTCTCAGACATGAAGGTGATGCAAAGCATTTACAACCTGGAGTGAGTGAGTTAATGCCGCTTTTAACAGTATTCCAGTTATATTGCCGCATGTCAGCTTAATGTGGGAGGAAAGCCCGAAGTGATGCAGGTCTCGGACGTTTACCACTTCGGTAAAACCCACAAGCACGGGTATGGTGCTGACAACCTACAAACATAATCGGGGCAAACCGGGATTCGAACCCACAATCATAGGTTTCTGGCATGCCCAAGGGTCGCAACTCTGCACAGCGAATCGCGGCGCCTTAGACAACTGGCCATCTGTGCCCCCTTTACAACCTGAAACAAGTCTGTGAGAGAATAGCTTCAAGGCAGCATATGACATATTTCTGAAGAACTACAATGTTAGCATCTGTACAGCATGGGGTGGGGCGGTCGGGTAGCCGAGTGGTTAAAACGTTCACTTGTTATGCCAAAGACCCAGGTTCGATTCCCGACATGGGTACAATGTATGAAGCCCATTTCTGCCGTGATATTGCTGGAATATGGCTAAAAGCGGCGTTAAATCAAAGTCACTCACTCCATCACTCAATCACTCACTCCGTCACTAACTCACTCACCCACTCACTCACTTACTCACTCAAGCATGGGGCAATGTTGTTCACATGGGAGACTGTATGCTGTAACAGTGCTGTAAATACTGTTCCGCATGCTGTTGTGGGGTTAAACAAAGTATTACACATACTTTTAACTGTTACATGCACTGCCAGACACACTGTTACACATCTGTATATGTTACTCCAGACATCCCGAAGTTGGAAGAGAGAGATGTGGTGTTTATTCTGACTCTCATCACCAATCTGTTGAGTCCGTCATCGAAGACTCCGGCCACGCAGAACAACACGAAGAACACCCTGACCATCAACGAGTACGGCAGGTGCAGCAGCCTCTCCAACACCGACAAGAACACGGCCAAGCTGGTCAGCGATCACCAGCAACAGGTGGCCTATGTAGGTGAGTACCAACAGATGCCCTATGTGGAGTATGTAGGTGAGCAGTGCAGCAGGTGCCCTATGTAGGTGAGCAGTGCAGCAGGTGCCCTATGTAGGTGAGCAGTGCAGCATGTGCCCTATGTAGGTGAGTAGTGCAGCAGGTGCCCTATGTAGGTGAGCAGTGCAGCAGGTGCCCTATGTAGGTGAGTAACAGCAGGTGCCCTATGTAGGTGAGTAACAGCAGGTGCCCTATGTAGGTGAGCAGTGCAGCAGGTGCCCTATGTAGGTGAGCAGTGCAGCAGGTGCCCTATGTGGAGTATGTTGGTGAGTAGTGCAGCAGGTGCCCTATGTAGGTGAGCATTGCAGCAGGTGCCCTATGTAGGTGAGCAGTGCAGCAGGTGCCCTATGTAGGTGAGCAGTGCAGCAGGTGCCCTATGTAGGTGAGTAACAGCAGGTGCCGTATGTAGGTGAGCAGTGCAGCAGGTGCCCTATGTAGGTGAGCAGTGCAGCAGGTGCCCTATGTAGGTGAGTAACAGCAGGTGCCCTATGTAGGTGAGTAACAGCAGGTGCCGTATGTAGGTGAGCAGTGCAGCAGGTGCCCTATGTAGGTGAGCAGTGCAGCAGGTGCCCTATGTAGGTGAGCAGTGCAGCAGGTGCCCTATGTAGGTGAGCAGCGCAGCATGTGCCCTATGTAGGTGAGCAGCGCTGCAGGTGCCCTATGTAGGTGAGCAGTGCAGCAGGTGCCCTATGTAGGTGAGCATTGCAGCAGGTGCCCTATGTAGGTGAGCAGCGCAGCATGTGCCCTATGTAGGTGAGCAGCGCTGCAGGTGCCCTATGTAGGTGAGCAGTGCAGCAGGTGCCCTATGTAGGTGAGCAGTGCAGCAGGTGCCCTATGTAGGTGAGCATTGCAGCAGGTGCCCTATGTAGGTGAGTAGTGCAGCAGGTGCCCTATATGGAGTATGTAGGTGAGCAGTGCAGCAGGTGCTATGTAGTTGAGCAGTGCAGCAGGTGCCCTATGTAGGTGAGCAGTGCAGCAGGTGCCCTATGTAGGTGAGCAGTGCAGCAGGTGCCCTATGTCGGTGAGATACTTGGTACACATTGGAAACTTCTCTTCTTACCGTACATACTTCTGTAAATGTTTCTATGGTTTGAATATATTTTGGCTGTGAGTATATACTTGTAACTTCTGTGTTCCAGTAAGAGCTAGTTGTTAGTAGAAGTGATGTTATTGGTTATGTTCATTTGACGTTTCAGGCCTGGAGATTCTTCTCATCTGTTTTGACAAGCAGCTGGCGTCTGAGTGGCACAGAGTGTCCAAGTGTATCCAGATGCTGGCGTCCAAGGGGAAAGGTGGGTGGCAGGTTGGATGGAAAGTGGGTGGAAGTATGGGTGGAAGGTGGGTGGAAGGTGGGTGTAAGGTTGGATGGAAGGTGGGTGGAAGGTGGGTGGCAGGTGGGTGGAAGGTTGGATGGAAGGTGGGTGGAAGGTGGGTGGCAGGTTGGGTGGAAGGTGGGTGGCAGGTGGGTGGAAGGTGGGGTGGCAGGTGGGTGGAAGGTTGGATGGAAGGTGGGTGGAAGGTGGGTGCCAGGTGGGTGGAAGGTGGGTGGAAGGTTGGATGGAAGGTGGGTGGCAGGTGGGGTAAAAGGTGGGTGTAAGGTTGGATGGAAGGTGGGTGGCAGGTGGGTGGAAGGTTGGATGGAAGGTTGGGTGGAAGGTGGGTGGCAGGTTGGGTGGAAGGTGGGTGGCAGGTGGGTGGAAGGTGGGGTGGCAGGTGGGTGGAAGGTTGGATGGAAGGTGGGTGGAAGGTGGGTGCCAGGTGGGTGGAAGGTTGGATGGAAGGTGGGTGGCAGGTGGGGTAAAAGGTGGGTGTAAGGTTGGATGGAAGGTGGATGGAAGGTTGGGTGGAAGGTGGGTGCCAGGTGGGTGGAAGGTGGGTGGAAGGTTGGATGGAAGGTGGGTGGCAGGTGGGGTAAAAGGTGGGTGTAAGGTTGGATGGAAGGTGGGTGGCAGGTGGGTGGAAGGTTGGATGGAAGGTTGGGTGGAAGGTGGGTGGCAGGTTGGGTGGAAGGTGGGTGGAAGGTGGGTGGAAGGTGGGTGCCAGGTGGGTGGAAGGTGGGTGGAAGGTTGGATGGAAGGTGGGTGGCAGGTGGGGTAAAAGGTGGGTGTAAGGTTGGATGGAAGGTGGGTGGCAGGTGGGTGGAAGGTTGGATGGAAGGTTGGGTGGAAGGTGGGTGGCAGGTTGGGTGGAAGGTGGGTGGCAGGTGGGTGGAAGGTGGGGTGGCAGGTGGGTGGAAGGTTGGATGGAAGGTGGGTGGAAGGTGGGTGCCAGGTGGGTGGAAGGTGGGTGGAAGGTTGGATGGAAGGTGGGTGGCAGGTGGGGTAAAAGGTGGGTGTAAGGTTGGATGGAAGGTGGATGGAAGGTTGGGTGGAAGGTGGGTGGAAGGTTGGGTGGAAGGTGGGTGGCAGGTTGGGTGGAAGGTGGGTGGAAGGTTGGGTGGAAGGTGGGTGGAAGGTGGGTGGAAGTATTGGTGGCAGGTGGGGTGGAAGGTGGGTGGAAGGTTGGATGGAAGGTGGGTGGAAGGTGGATGGAAGGTGGGTGGAAGGTTTGATGGAAGGTGGATGGAAGGTTGGATGGAAGGTGGATGGAAGGTTGGATGGAAGGTGGGTGGCAGGTGGGGTGGAAGGTGGGTGGAAGGTTTGATGGAAGGTGGGTGGAAGGTTGGATGGAAGGTGGGTGGAAGGTTGGATGGAAGGTGGGTGGAGCCTCCACCAGTCTGGTTGGGCTGAAGAAGTCCTGTCTCAGGGCAGTTCTGGAGTTCAGGACAAAATAATTATTAAAGTATACATACTTTTTGCAAAATCATACTTAAGCACAAGCTTTCAAGTTTTAATAATGTGATTATTTGTGAGGTTGACACTTTGCAGATCTTTGAAATAAGTTTGATATTTTGGCATACATTACAACATTAGATTTGGCACGTGATCAGGATAAAAATTGTCAAATTTCAAAAAATAAAATTTCTTTTCATCAAAATTTTTCAAGCTGGCTTTGTTCTCCTTTGGCTTCAGTGCATTGTTTGGGTGTGCAAGGTTGCATAATGTTAGGTTTATGTGTAAATTTGGGGCTGCATCAATTTGGAATTCAGACTGTTGGTACCATTCTCATTATCTATTCTAACAAACATCACCATGATCACACATGCAGAGTGGGTGTTTTGTATGACTTACTGTAATGAGTCTTGGCTCAGGTATAGCGTTGGTTGTGTGTTGTGTTTCAGTGAGCCTGCCACTGTGGAAGTTCCTGGACTTCCTCGTCACTCACAGACCGTCCTTGTTCCTGTTGCTGCAGACCTTTGTCCAGTTCAGGGTGAGTTCCACCCACAGACCATCCTGTTGCTGACTATAATGTTTATAGCCTGTGTTGACAGATGGCACAATACATTAACCTCTGTTGACAGGACCCAATGTATATAGCCTGTGTTGACAGATGACACAATGTATATAGCCTTTATTGACAGATGACACAATGTATATATCCTGTGTTGACAGATGGCACAATGTCTATAGCCTGTGTTGACAGATGATACAATGTATATATCCAGTGTTGACAGATGACACAGTGTATATATCCCATGTTGACAGATGATACAATGTATATATCCCGTGTTGACAGATGACACAATGTATATATCCCGTGTTGACAGATGACACAATGTATATATCCCATGTTGACACATGACACAATGTATATATCCCGTGTTGACAGATGACACAATGTATATATCCCATGTTGACAGATGACACAATGTATATATCCCGTGTTGACAGACGACACAATGTATATATCCCGTGTTGACAGATGACACAATGTATATATCCAGTGTTGACACATGACACAATGTATATATCCCATGTTGACAGATGACGCAATGTTTATATCCAGTGTTGACACATGACACAATGTATATATCCCGTGTTGACAGATGATGAAGGTGAACTGTGACACGGCCCAGGAGTACTACCTCCAGCAGACCGTGAAGGACAAGCTCATGGGGTACAGCTTCACCCACCCCAAGTCTGTGGGGACCATCCTGCTGCACCTGGCCACAGACCTGAAGGCTCTCCGCGACGACCTGCCCAACAGCACTGGGGGTGAGCCACACACATAGCACACACACACACACACACACACACACAGCACACAGCACACACACACACACACACACACACACACACAGCACTGGGGGTGAGCCACACACATATCACACACACACACACACACACCATCACACACACACACACAGCACACACACTCATAACACACACACAGCACACACACACACACATAGCACACACACATAGCACACACACACACACAGCACACACACACACACACTAATCAGTACCACATATGGAATGTATTTCCCAAGGATTGTTTCACTTGAGAGAAACATGTGGATTAAGATTTACCAAACAAATATTTCAGAATTAATTTGTCACTATTGATTTCTCTTTTTTGGGATGGTTATAAAATTATTTTTTAAAACTGACATACAAAACTGTGAAAAGAGCACAGCAAACATCTAAAGATGAACAAATTTTGTCTGACAAAAGTGAATGCGTGTTACCATATACATACAAAAAAATGGGATTCCAACTTAGAATTGGTCTCCAGTAACCTATGCTGATTGTATAACTTTCATCCATACCCCTTCCGTGTGGATCGCTGCTTATATGAATCACTGGTTTGTCTGGTCATATAGCTTGAATATTGCTTTGTGCAGCCTAAACGACAAACAAACAAACATGCACTCCTTATCAAAGTATTACTGTTACATAGTGGATGTGTTAGCGACACGTCCATGAAGATCGTGATCAGATCTTCCTTAAGGGATGGTAAGCTTGAGTCATCGTACCACTAATTTTTGAACTCACCAAAACACTTGAATCAAGAGCCATATTATGCAGCAGGTTACCGATCAAGAACTGCAACTTTTGCGACAGATCACTCGGACTACTCCCACACCCACCCCGACCACCGTCCACGGACCAGCATCACCGAGATCACGGCCGAGATCCTCGGACACCCCAAACCTAACCTGGCCGGTGTTGGCAAAAGAGCCAGCAGAGGTATGTGAAAAACCTTTCTTTGTAGATGTAGCGACCCGTGAAAATTACGGGGTAGAATAGGTCTTCAGCAACCCACGCTTGCCGTAAAAGGTGACTTTGCTTGTCGTAAAAGGCGACTAACGGGATTGGGTGGTCAGGCTCCCTGACTTGGTTGATGCATGTCATCGATCCCAATTGCGTGGATCGATGCTCATGATATTAATCACTGGATTGTCTGGTCCAGACTTGATTATTAACAGACCGCTGTCACATAGCTGGAATATTGCTGAGTGCGGCGTTAAACAACAAACCAACCAACCAATAGATGTAGCCTTGACCTCTGGGGATTCTGGGACTTTGTCAGTGTAAAACTTACTCTTGAATTTTAAACTCTTGAATCAAAATCAGGGTGTGATCACTTACCTTTGCAGATATCTTCCACAAACTGACACAAACACACACACACAATTTATTTTGATATTCCCTACGTAATCTGCAGTAAAACGAATCTGCAAACCCCAAAATAGGATTTGACTTACAGAATCAAAACTAAGGTCTTTGAATGTAGTCACAAATTGAAGTTACCATCTTTGTTTTCTTCATCTTCTTCAGCATGACTTGTTGCTCATTATATAATAAATAATAATATTCCTCTTGTAAAGTGCATAGCTTCACGTGTAGTGTATGCCCGAAATAATTTTCATTCTCAGCTTCCTGGGGAGTATACAACCCAAGCTGCCATCTCATTACCATCTTTTCCACATATCAATTGCTTGATTATTTTCATTTTGTCATCATATGGAAGCAGTGTTCGATAACTGCCTGCCCGCCTGCCCGTGGCTAGTAGCTTTTCTGTTGGGCTGCATGAAATTTTCCTCCACATGCTCGCCTGTCTAACAGATAATTTTAAGACAACTTATGGATTCAGTTTTATCATCACTCCTTGTAGATTCTTAAGGAATTATCATATTCGACGCAATAAGTGCCCAGGGCGCTCTCAAAAATAGAAATAGGGGGCTCTTATTAGAATATTTTTTTGGTGGAAAAAACAGAGTTGAAAGATAAATTTCGTGGTTTATGCTGACGGCCTGAACTGTTTATATACGACAGATATATTTTTCCTGAATTTAATTGCCCATAATTAAGGGTGTATATAACACACGCGTGAGTATTATACACGAATATATAAGTCTTTTGTACATTGATCAATCAGAAGTGGGGCTAATTGGGATTGTTCACTTGCCAATATATTAGAAAATATCGCCATGGGCGCTTATTACAGCGGGGCGCTTATTACGTCGAATACGGTATTTGCAGTATTTGAACTGAACCAAGACCTGATTTGTCTCTTAGTTTTGCTATATTTCAATATTCATCATGCTTGAATGCAGACAGGTAACCTTGAAGATGGGCAGGCAACACTTATGGGTCACCTGCCCGACTGTTTTGTTGGGTTTTAAAGTTATTTCAAACACTGTATGATGGAATATTGCCGAGTGCAGTGTCAGACAACAAACAAGCTTGCTATTTGGCTGGGATATTAACATTCAGTGTTGACTTTCTGTATACAGGCACCATCTTCTCCCAGTCCAGCACCACCTCCAGCGCCCCGATGAGGCAGACCACCGTGGTATCAAGTGATGGCAACGACAGCCCCACCGTGACACGGAGGAAGTCCAGCAAGCGCATCTCCACCAAGGAGGGCACTCGTATCCTGGAGAAGTTCAACAGGAAAAACACAGTTGATGATACGTCGCCTGGTATGTCGCATGATAACCTTTCCATGGCCAAAACATATTGAAACGTTATGATTTTTCTGGGTTTGAAAACACTGTTTAAACAGCAGACTACCAATCTAGGATTTAACTTAATGAAATATGAGTTTAACGCTGCTTTTAACATTATTCCAGTTATGTCACGGCGTGTCAGCTTAATGTGGGAGGAAAGCCCGAAGTGATGCAGGTCTCAGACGTTCACCACTTCGGTGAAACCCACGAGCACTGGTATGGTGCTGTCAAACCTATAAACATAATTGGGGCGAACCGGGATTTAAACCCACAATCATAGGTTTCTGGCGTGCCCAAGGGACGCAACTCTGCACAGCGAATCGCGGCGCCTTAGACGACTGGGCCACCAATGCCCCCTGGACATTTATGAACATTTTGTCATGTTTATAATTTTAATATCTTCAAAAGTTACATATGTAGGTGAGGCAGAACTGGTTCATTGGACCACAGAGAGTTGTATCTTCAGATGTGTTGTCCGAAACATATGATGCGGGACGTCTATAATAACAAAAAAGCAAGATCATAATAAGAGATACGAATCGGCGAAAAACATGGTGAAAATTTGTAACAATTGATACCAGATTGGTTGCTGTCTCGAAAACACTCACCGGTGTCTTGAAAACCAAATTTACATTACATTTGAATACGATCTGGTTGTCCTCAATAAAATATGCCAGCTGTGCTTAGGATAAAAATCTTAATTCCTTAATTCTGGTGGCAAGTTTTCCATCTGACAAAATCAATTTTTCCAGGAATTTATGGTTCAGATTACTAAAATACCACTCTAATCATCATACTTAACTCAGAAACGATATCGGCATTGTAGGTATAAAAATGAGTTGAGTAAAAAAGACAGTCAATTTGACAAAGCATATTCGACGTAATAATCGCCCAGGGCGCTCTCAAAATTAGAAATAGGGAGCTCTCTTATTAGAATATAATTTTGGTGAGATTAAAAACAAGGTTAAAAGATCGTAAATTTTGTGGTTTATGCTGACAGCCTGAAATGATATGAAAGAAGAATCTGTGTGTATTATACACGATAGATATATTTTAGAGAATTAAATTGCCTATAATTAAGGGTGCATATAACAAACGAGTGCGTATTATACATGAATACATAAGTCTTGTGTACATTGATCAATCGGAAAGGGTGCTAACTGGGATTGTTCTCTAGCCATTGTATTAGCAAATAACACTGTAGGCGCTTATTAGAGGGGGGCGCTTATTACGTCAAATACGTAATACGCAAAGAAACACCATTTTTTTCCCAATCTCATTAAAATCAGATCTTAGTTCTCGCTGCCGCTAAGCAAAGATCTGAGGACATCCCATTACCGGGTCACGTCAGACCGACCTTTGGCAAACTCTGACCGATTAATGGTATTACTGACAAGAAGTCGACATTAGCCAATCAGAATGAAGCTTTCTCGTGCTTTATGGCACTAATTTCAAATTGGCGACTATGCTTCGAAGCATATTTTGACAAATTCTTGCTTAAAAATTTGATACCTGAACAAAAGAACATTCTCGAATGGCTAATATATGATCTAGATTGTATAGATTCAGTCGTTTAGCCCCTAACTATCGTTCGGAATACCCCGTTTTAAAGATTTCGAGGCTGCATGATGAGAAATCACATTCCGACTGTCACTTTAATGATCTGGTAAGCGACGCTGTGATTGGTCGGATGAAAGGTCGTTCTGACGTGACCCCAAATGGGATGTCCTCAGATCTTTGTTTAGCGATAGCGAGAACTAAGATCTGAGTTTAATGAGATTGTTTTTTTCCTGGTCTCATCTGGAATTGTATGTTGACTCTCCCTCAGCCAAGTCACCCAATACAACCTTCTGACAAACCCTGTTATGTGTCTTTTAGGGACTTGAGTTATCCTTGAAACTAGTGTTTATGAGTTTGCAAAGATTATTTGACATGTGCTTGTTTTCAGAGCCTCCAACGCCGACCTCACCTCGGCTCCAGCGCCAAGCGACCATCTGTCTGAGAGGGCACCTGTCTAAGCAGACGAGTCTTGATGACCCTGCCAGAGTGGTGTTTGAGAATGAAGAAGTGGACACTGCCAATGGAGCAGGTAGGTTCTCAAAGTATTTCATTGTTGCGATGGTTTTCTTTTTCAGTCTTGTTTTGAATAATTTGATCAGTGGAAATGACTCCTCCTAGGGCAAAAGGAATTGTTTCCGAATTCACGTTGTATGACATGTCACTCACTGCTTTCAACTGATTATCTGGTTCTCTGTTTCAGCCGGTGGTCGTCTGGCCGACCCGGACCTCGTGGCTGCACTGGCAGGGCTGGAGTCCGACCCAGGAACTCATCGCCTACAAAGACAAGATGCCAAGAGCAGAAAGACCTTCAAAATCAAGCGTACCAAAACCAAGACCTCGACCAATATCCGGCGGTTCATGTCTGCGAGACGTGGCCGGTATGAAGTGAGCGACCATGAGGGAAGTAGTGAAGACTCGCCGATTCGGACACCAGGGAGAATGTCTGACACAGCGGTCGTGTTCCATGACCGATCGTCCTTCACGCTCCGCCGCCCGGGGGTCGCAGTGGCCCGCTCTGTCGAAACCATTCCTGAATCTGTGGAAGTGAAGGTACACCCTAAAGCTGCACGTGTCTAGTGTACTAATGAACATAAGAGTTCCAAGTATTCGGTTGTGTTGTTAACGTTGATGTAATGTACTCATTTTCTTGGTTTTTTTATCATTTAGCAGCCTAATGCTTAAATATTCATCTCTATTTTTGCTCCATGACGGTTATTTTTTACCAGTGTATCATGTCGCCAAACCATGTGTTGGAGATTTGAACATGAGAGACTTGAAGTAGATTAAGATTTTCAGCGTTATTGATGGTTTATTTGGCAAAGCTTCTGTCCAAGACTTGGATCAGGACAAGACGTAGTCTCTCTTGCAGACCCAGAGCTTATCTTTAATAAATTCCTCCGGTTTGATAAAAAGTAGAATATGATAAAATGACAAAAGACATTTTGTATTTTATGAATGGAGACAAGCGAAAAAACCCAAGTGATACAATACAATACGCTGTATCTCCAGAAAGTTCATTCTTGCCAAAACTGACTTGATGTGCTAAGTGGCAGCGTAAATTTTATGACACATTTTTCTCACTTCAAGTTGAGTTTGCCTCCAAATAAAACCTACTGACGAAGAGAACATGAGGATATTTTGTTAAATGTCTTGAACACAATCTATGGTTTAATGTCTCAGTATTATTCTTTGGGGTATTGAAGTGCTTCAGTGATTATGTAGAATCAAAGGATAGGATGGACTGAAGGTGCATGAGAGTTGTCTTCCTTTTGCTGCCAGGATCAGCTGGTCATGAGTTCAATCTCAGAGTTCTGTGATTATGATCCTTGGTTTGTTGGCAACATGCCAGTACTCCTGGTTTCACACGTAAACGTCTACGATCAACATCACTTCGGGCTCTCCACCTTATTGAAACTGACACACTGTGACGTAACTAAATACTGTTCAAATGGCGTTAAGCACATCTAGCTCACTATATATTGTTCGTAGCAGTAAGATATAATGATGTAGCTTAGCGCCAAAGTAAGAGATCGATACTTAGTATCTAGATCTTCACACTTACTGGTGATCGTGTGACGTATACATGTAGTTCGAAATTGGTCAGGAATATTATTAATCCATTGTAGTTTTTGTCTAAACAGATTAATCATTCATCTTGTCCTTTTTCTCCAATTTTGCTCTTTTGAGATTGATTTATCCCTTTTTTACTACGATTTTCTCATATTTTGATCTCACCAAGTCACTGCTGAAATGGGGAACCTGCTAGCATTGTTCCTCTGCTGTAGTGTTGTGGTGATCTGTGATCTGTGATCTGTATGTTCCTAGGCTGGGTTTGTAATACTGATATAGGCTTAAGGTGGAAGCAAGTTTTAAATGATAAGTTGTGAACTTACAAACTGATTTAGAAGGACTAATATTTGATGTTAAACATTTAAACGTAGCTTGGCCTGAAGTTTCAAAGAAATGATAGACTTTGTACGCTTGAAAGGTAAAATTAAGTGCCTATCCATTCATACTGTGAGATTTATCTTTAGGGGTTTATAGTGAGGGTTGTTGTAAGTCACTGAGGCTAAACACACACATTTGATGTTTGTGTTTACGTGTACAGGTGATTTTCGTAATACCTATTAAATCACTACTTATGTCTGAATGTTCACAAATAGATCGTCTTAAGGCCATGATAAGTTAACTGATTTTTTTCGAAATATTTAAAATAATTATGAGATTATTTTTAATGTATAATTTTATTTATTATTACTTACAAGGCGTTCAAGGCATCTGTGTACATTGGTGACAGATGTGATTCACATCAGTGTTCCCTTACGGTAATTACCAATATTTTACCGGTAAAATTAGGCTCGGATCAGTAATTTTTGTGAATTTCAGCCCCTGTGGTCCGGCAAATAAGGTATCTTGGAAATCTTTGTTGTTGAACAAAACATTGTTGATATTAAAAAAAATTATATTTTCGAACTAAGTCAACTTGGCTGTTATCATCAGGGTTTCCCCTTGTCTTTTTTTAGCGCAAGGACATAATAGGTTAAGAAGTGAAAGTGAAATATTCAGAGAAAAAATTGAAAATTGTGATTGAACTTTGTGTGAATGAATGTAGATATAAATAATTAAGTTACTTCAGAAATAATGTCACTGAATTTGTCAGACATGAAACTACACTGTATTGATATTGATGTAGAAAGAATTAAAACCAGAAATTTCATATGATTTTTATGTTTTCAAAGTTGGGCCTGACAAAAGTTGGTGGGACTGGTTATTTGTGGGGTTGCTGGTCATGGGGACTGGGGCTGGCAGTTGGAAAAGCCATCGGGAACACTGCACATGTAACATGGATGCCTTGTGAACTTTGGTATATTTCATGAAGTAAGGGAGAGAACCATGTAGCGACTTCCATGGTGTGGAGGTACTTGCTGTGAGGAGGGTGTTTGCTTGTGTAAGTGGAAGTGATAAAATAAAAATCAATTGATTAATTTATAATGACCTAAAGTTGAAATGTTAGACTTGTTGGAGGGTTTAGTTAATTTGCTATTGTAGCGTCTCGGTCAGAATCCAAGGAGTCACTCGTCTTGGTTGACTATGAAGCTGATATTTACTTGAAGTCTTATTTGGAGAACTGCTGAAAGTCTATGCCTCTGATACTATCCTGCCAAGGGTTCAAACTGTTGTCATCAACAATATATCATGTCCGCCCAATCGTTTTAGCCGAGTGACTGTATGATATAACAAACTGTTTTTGATTGGTTTGGAATGCAAGATTGAACCAATCAGTGTTTCCCTTGCTGAATACTCTTCACTTATCAAAGTGAGTGATGCATGGATAATTGTTGTGACAAGTCTGTGTCAAGTCTTATTGTCGGTTACATCTGAAACAGGCCTTTGACGTCTGGATAGTGCTATTGGGGGTATATTGTTCACATTGAATAAAGGAGAGTTATCCAAGGACGGTTTGTGACCATGGGACTCCAAATCAGTTACCCATCATCAGATCATAACATGCACGAGAAGGATCAGCTTGTCATGTTTTCAAGTTGTAGGTTTGCTATTAGAGTTCAAATTGCAATGAAACAATTGTATTTTTATAACAGTAAATCTACACTGAGTGTCGAAGTAAATATAATAAGTGTTCACATTTTCTTCTAGACAGTTGGGCAGGTAGAGAGAAATTTTACCTTTCCCTACAGAAATGTTACTAGTCACAGGATAGTGGGCAAGCAGATATTTCCGACACCGTTTAGTGTTTCACAAAAATGAGCACCTGTTACTGCAGTCTGCTAATATTTGACACAGAAAGGTGACGCAATGCAAATAGAGCCAAGAATCAACCTTGGACATGTTGGTATCTCGATATACTGATGCATAAGAAAAACTGACACAATATTGCAACATCACAAATGATGGTACACGTCAGTGATTGAGGTTGGTAAGGTGTAAAATTGGACATATTGTGTTTGTAATCATGGTAAAAAGTTCAGTTTGTGTGCATTTGATATGTTTGCATCAGAAAATACAAGAAAGCTTAGGCCAATGTTTGACGATGCTAATGTGATTTGAAACCTTCCCTGATGCATCTTCCGAGGCAAGAGAGTTAATAGTCAGTTAACTCACTTGCCTCGGGAAGATGTCCCTGATGGGGAATTGGGGAACTAATTTTAAACCTTCCCTGATGGGGAATTGGGGAATTGATTTGAATCCTTCCAGGGGAATATTTTTTTAACCTATCGAGTGAGTAATTAATATTTTGTGAATTGAGCAAGTCCAGTGTATTTTGATCCATAACTTCTCAAACAGGTCCATTGTTTGAACCCGTGGTTAATCAGTCTTTCAGCAGATATATACAGTGGAAGACACTTCTATGTAAAATAGTTGGTGAAAGTAACAGTAATTTAGTAATAATTTAGTGAAATGACAATTGTACAAGTTGATTATTATTTCCTGTGTGTACTACTCATGGTTTAAATCTTAGAGGAGGTGTAGATATGAACTCAGTTTTCTGGAGGTGAACTTCTGTATTGTTGTTTGGCACACATTTGTGGACAAGTCTTACTGCTTCATTGGGTCATAGACTTATAATTACTGTTCAACCAAGCCCTGTCTCTTTAAGTGAGTGAGTGAGTGAGTATGGTTTTACGCCGCTTTTAGCAATATTCCAGCAATATCACGGCGGGGGACACCAGAAATGGGCTTCACACATTGTACCCATGTCGGGAATCGAACCCGGGTCTTCGGCGTAACGAGCGAACGCTTTTACCACTGGACTACTCGACCGCCCCTGTCTCTTTAAGAGAAGATTTTGTATTGCAATTTGATACCTCTCTCTGTCAGGATCTGACAAGGTCTCCAACAGATATGAACAGACAGTGCTGAATGGAGAATAATAAAAGCCATGCTATGTTCCAGAAGATCCGGGGTAGAACAGGCCTCAGCAACCCATGCTTGCATAAAAGGCGACTGTGCTTGTAGTAAGAGGCGACTAACGCTGACTTGGTTGATACATGTCATCGTATCCCTAGTGCGTATATTGATGCTCATGATATTAATCACTGGATTGTCTGGTCCAGACTCGACTATTTACAGACCGCTGTCATATAGCTGGAATATTGCTGAGTGCGGCGTTATACAACAAACCAAACCAACCAAATCTGGATATTTTATTGTCGTCATCATTTCTGACAACAAAGTATCTACGTCCAAAATGGTGCTGGGGCTTTTGTGATTTGTGTTGAGGCCAGAGTTGTTAAAGAAAGGAAGATGTTTCGTATTAGAATGTTGATGTCAGATTAGCTCCAGAACCCAGAAACCTGTGTATGGTCAGTGTCCCCTCAGGGCTCACTTCATAAGACCTTCTACAGAGGTTGTCAGAAATGATGGGGGGAGCCATCAAATGGGAGTGAAGGATCTGATTCAATGAGATTGAACAATCTGCAATGTTGTTTCAAGGTTTGTTTCAAATGGAATGTGAAGCCTGTGTGTAACTGATGGATGAAGGAGTAAGGTTGTGTGCCTGCATCGATAAAGAAGTTGACATCCATTAAGCT